AATCCTGTGTAGGTGCAAACAGTGTATCAAAATTCGATGATTGCAATTTGATTTGCTTCAATAAATGCCACCCCTTTGCAGCTATACATGGAAGGGATGATGCTGTACATTTGCATTAATATTTCCAAAAATATTTCACTTCTGACAAATTAAAGTAGAACTAAAGTAACCACTGTAGTACATTGAAACACCTTAAAGTGTTGCAGAGAAGCCATCATCATAACCTGGAATTTCCCAGAGAGAAGCAGATGACTTTGTGCAATATGGAGGTAGTCGGGAAGCATTGCCTTACAACACTGCCTCATAAAATGAAATCCAATTTGTCTTGAGTAATTTCAATTGTGACTGCTGCAACCCTGAGTCTGTCCACCATCTGTCAGTATGGGTGGACTGAGATGGCCTTCTTCTGAAGATTTCGCTTAGTTTCTGCCACGTTTTCGGCAATGCGGAGGTGACAGTGATAGAATCGGAATAGTGTCTCAGGATGAAAAGCATGTTGAAGACTTTTGTTGATATTTATCACTGAACATGTTTGATGTTGAATCACAAAATAATTAGCAGAAATTGACTCTTAAGATTGTTACAATTGCATGGGTTTTCAAAAGATTATAAGTTCATTTTAGGAAGTGGTTAATTTATCTCTCGGAATCTAATTGTTCTAATTGTTTGAGGAAGAGGATAATGAATATATAGTGGAATAGCACATAGAATCAGCGGGTCTATAGATGAGGGAGGATTGTGTCTATATGCAGCAAGAACTGAACAATGATCAGATTTGGGCTGATCAATGACAAATAACATTTGCGCCAGGCATTGACCATTTCCAAAGAAAGTCTAAATGACTCCCATTGACAATGAATTAAATCACCAACATCAAATCTCCCCAAAGCCGCTCCACCACCTACAATATGTGTCAAGAACGTGATGGAATACAGTGCAATTGTCTGGATAAATGTTGCTTCAACAACACTCAAACTCAGTGCCAATCAGGGCAAAGCAGGTTGTTTGATCGGTACTCCATCCACCACCTTAAACTTGCATTCCCTCTACTGCTGGCACAGTGTGGCTGCATATGTGAAATTACATGCAGTGTAACTATTTGCCAAATCTCCTTTGACAGCACCTTCCAAACTTGGAACTTTTACTTAGACAATGCAATAGGTGCATGGGAACACTACCAACCACAGATTGTCTTCCTAATTTACACACCATATGCTTGGAAATATACTGTCTTTTGTTCATTGGGTCAATGTTCTGGATTTCCTGCCTGTGTAAATACCATTCTTTGAAACTCCATGATGTTGAGCACAGGATGATTTGAGTTATTAGTTTGTTTGAAAATGATCATAAGTGTTCTGATTTAGTCATGAAAGCCCTTAGCTATGCTACTGTTAAAGATATTGTGCAAGGGATGTGCAGAAGCAATTTTAGCATCCACTTGGACGCTTTTAGATCTTCCCAGTGATGCCTTATTCCTTCAGATGCCTGGATTGCTGCAGTTACCGCTCTTCTGATATAATCTACATCATGTTGTAGCTCGAGTTCTTGGATCTCTCCAGCTTATCTCTATCTCACACATATATGAAGCCACTATATCCACAATCTGAGCTTGCAAATTGACAGGCAGGATGGGATCAGCTAGTCCACCAAACCTCTGGTGTATCATGACTAAACATATACTTTCTCCTTTTCTTCTCCTGTCCCCAACCCCACTACCATATAATCTTCTAACAACGGCAAAAAGAATATAAACCCAGAGCCATGAAGTATACTTTGGAAAATTAGAAATTGTGGATTCTTTTAGCAGAGTCTTCAAATAATCATAAGACCATAAGAAACAGGAGTAGGCTATTTGGTCCCTCAAGCCTGCTGTTCCATTCAATAGGATAAAGGTTGATCCAACATTCCTCATGTTCACTTTCCTGCAATTTCCTCATAACCCTTGATTCCTCTACTGATCAAGAATCTGTCTATCTCAGCCTTAAATATACACAACTCTGCCCCCCTGCAGCTCTCTGTGGCAAAGAGTTCCAAAGACACTCAACCCTCTGAGAGAAGAAATTCACCTTTACCTTGGTCTTAAATTGACATCCCTTTATCTGAGATAATCCTAGACTCTCCCATGAGGGGAAACATCGTCTCAGCATTAAACCTGTCAAGCCTCTTAAGAATCCTATGTGCTTCAATAACAATGATTATCATATCAATGAATAGCAATGGATTGGTAACAGAAAGGATCAATAAGGGTATGTGGTATACACGGACTTCCAAAAGAGGTTTGACTCAGGGCCGCACAGCAAACTTGCAATGAAAGTTATAGGTCTTGGAATAAAATGGATAGTGGCATTATGGATACAAAATATTGCGATAGGAAATAGATCGTAATGGTTAATGGATGTTTTGCAGTCTGGAAGAAAGTTGCTTTGGAGTTCCCAGGGGTTGATGTTGAGAACAAAAACAAAGTTGGTGGAAAAGCTCAGCAGATCTGGCAGCATCTGTGAAGGAAAAAACAGAGTTAATGTTTCGGATGTGGTGACTCTTCTTCAGATGCTGCCAGACCTGCTGAGCTTTTCCAGCAACTTTGTTTTTGTTCCTGATTCACGGCAACCACAGTTCTTTCGGTTTTTATTTGGTTGATATTGAGACTCTTGCTTATATAAAATGATTTGGATCTTGATGTGCAGTTGAACATTTCAAGGTTTGTGAACAAGACAAATTTAAATGAATTGTGAACTGTGAGGAAGACAGTGTAGAACTTCAACATTGACACATTTGTGGAATGGGTGTGTAAATGGCAGATGAAGTTCAGTGTAGAGAAGTGTGAGGTGATGCACTTTGATCCAAAGAACCTGAACAGATAGGATAAAATGAAGGGCGCTATTTTAAAAGGAGTACTGGAGCAGAGAGACCTGAGTATAAATGTGCATAGTCATTAAAGGTGGCAGGACAGGTGGAGCCTCTAGTAAAGCATACAATATTCTGAGGTTGCAGACTTGCTCGCCGAGCTGGTGTGTTTGATTGCGGATGTTTTGTCACCCTGCTAGGTAACATTGTTAGCGTGCCTCCAGTGAAGCACTGGTGTTCCCTCCCGCTTGTTGTTTATATGCCTCGGTTTGCTGGAGTGGTTGGTATTCCTTCCGGTTTCGTTCTTCAGTGGTTTGTATATTGGGTCCAGTTCAATGTGTTTGTTGACAGAGTTCCGGTTGGAATGCCAGGCCTCCAGGAATTCCCTGGCATGTCTGTGTTTGGCTAATGCAATTATGGATGTGTTGTCCCAGTCAAAGTCATGTCCTTTTTTGTCCATTTGTATTGCAACCAGTGAGAATTGGTCATGTCTCTTAGTGGCTAGTTGGTGCTCGTGTATCCTTATTGCCAGTTTTCTTCCAGTTTGGCCTATGTAATGTTTCTCACAGTCCTTGCATGGTATTTTGTATATTACGTTAGTTTTATTGGTTGTGCGTATGGTGTCTTTTAAGTGCATCAGTAGCTGTTGCAGGGTGATTGTTAGTTTGTGGGCTACCCTGATACCTAGGGGTCTGAATAGTCTTGTGGTCATCTCTGATATGTCTCTGATATATGGTAGGGCGACTAGTGTGTCTGGCCATGTTGTGTCGTCTCGTTGTGGTCTGTTGTGGAGGTAACGGCGGATTGTGCTTTTTGGGTATCCATTCCTTTTAAAAACGCCGTATAAATGCTCCTGTTCTGCTTTGCGCAATTCCGGGTTGCTGCAGTGTATTGTGGCTCATTTGAATAATGTCCTGATGCAGCTCCAGTTATAGGTGTTGTGGTGGTTGCTGGTCTAATTAAGTATCTGGTCCATATGTGTTGTCTTTCTGTGTACACTAGTCTGGTTGTTCTCATTGTTCTTACATTCCACCATTATGTCCAGGAACAGTAGTCGGTTGTTGTTCTTTTCTTCTTTTGTGAACTTTATTCTGGTGAGGATGTTGTTGGTGGGTTTCTTCTAATCTTGTGCATTTGACAATCACGAAGGTGTCATCTACATAGTGGACCCAGAGTTTGGGTTGTATAGTGGGGAGCACTGGTCCATTCTAATCTTTGCATTACCACTTCTGCTATCAGTCCTGATATTGGGGATCCCACTGGTGTTCCATTGATTTGTTTAAATATATGGCCATTGAAGGTGAAGGGAGCTGTGAGGCACAGATCCAGTAGTTTCAGGGTGCTGCCCTTATTGATGCTGTCAGTGTTGTGGTGTGTCTGCCTTCCTGATTTCTCCAGCTGTGTGGCAATTGTCTCTTTGGCTAGGTCGATGTTTATGGATGTAAATAATGCTGTTACGTCAAAGGATACCATTATCTTGTCCTCTTCTGTTCAGGTGTCCTTGATGATATCGAGGAATTCTTAGGAGAAGTGGATGGAGTGGGTAGTGGTGTCAAATAAGTATTTCAGTTTCAGTTGTATTATCAAACACACAAGGCTAGAAGTAACCCACCAATGCATAAACAACTTCCTCGCCAGAATAAAATTCACAAAAGAAGAAGAGAACAACAACTGACTACCCTTCCTGGACATAATGGTGTTGTTGACAGTGAGGAAAAAGGTCTCCGGTCACTGGAGGATATAGATAGATTGGTCAGATGGGCAAACCAGTAGCAGAGGGAATTTAAACCTTATAAGTGTGAAATGAATAATCTGAAATATGATCCCAACTCGGTACAAACATGCTCATTTCTGCTTTTAACAAAGGGTTAGCTCAGATAAGTCACCTGCAACTGAAGTTGATTCAGCCCATCCTTTTGGGAGAATGGACCCGAGCCCACTTAATCATGGGAGAAGCTCCATATCAGTCTCCAGGCAGTAGATAAGCCTCCCCTGATCAATTCAGAGAATGGAAGGGATTGACTTCATAAATGGAGATGGCTTTTTTGTGCTTCAGAAATTGGCGTGTTTGCAGGCAGCCTCCCTGGACCACTGCATAAGTGATAAAGCTTTGAGCCAATTGTAAATAATGCCTGAAATTTGTTTTTTTGAAGCAGATGTCAAACCAAAAATAGAGGACCTCAATAAAGATATTGAAGTCCATCGCTATGCACAAAGCAGCTCTTCTGGATTCCCAGCCATACAAGTCGGTAATGGAATGGACAATGAAGAGGAGGAAGAAGAAGAGGAAATGTCTGAGTCAAACAGCCCACCTATTACATACTTGCAGAAACATGTCCCAGAAGGATCCTGCACAACAGATGGTGAGTATAGCTTTATCTTCTAGAATACAAGTACCAGTACAAATCGGAGTGCCAAATGTGAATTTGTTCATGAGATTACTAAAGCTCCACCTACTGCACGATCATTATTCTTACATGAAACAACAGTCAGATTGAGCTTTTAATGTGGTTTGAACTAATGGGTAATGGACAGTATGATTGTTGCAAATCAGATCAAATCCACGTGCAACATTTTGATACCTATCAGCTAACTGATCATCTGATTCCTCACTGACCCACCCGCAAATCTCTCTGACCTACTCAACCCTCCAACCATGTCCCAATCCTCGGTCACCCTGTGAACACTAATTCTCGGCCCATCCAACAACTCCCCTCAACCTCGCACTAACCTGACCTGACCCAACTGAAGCTCATAAACCAATTCTCCCCTTGACGATGCCATCTTTCTCCTTGACCACTCCCCTGATCGTCCACATCATGACTCTCTGTGCCCCCGATACTATTTCACGTCACTACCCACCTAGCAACTTGACATTCTACCCAGCTGCCTCACCCAACCAACTCCATTTCACACTTACACTACCCCCCCTTCCCACTTAGCCCTATTCATATGAACCCATAGCAAAGTTTTGCAATGGGTAAACCTATTTACCAAAGTACAGCAGTAAGTGCTGTAAAAGGAATGTGGTGCTTGTGTTGATTCTCACCACTGCCCCTGAAGATTCCTGGGCTTGGTGAGTTTGGAATCATTCCACATAGATTTGCAGCTCCAGTGTATTTTCTCACTCTCCAACCTACCCATATCTGTTAGCAGCTTTTTTGTGTCCATCTCTGCTCACTTTCTCACCTATGCAGTCTTGGATACATCACAGTATATCCCATCACCTTGATAAAGATTATGAATAGCTGAGGCTCAAGCACTGACCATTGCCGTATTACATTAGTTACAGCCTACCAATCCAAAAGTGACCTGTTTCTGCTTGTGAAAATGTTTGAAAATAACTTTAATGCATTTGGTATTTAGCGTTAATTGCCAGTTGTGTGTTGATAACCGTAGAGCCTCAAGTTTTTCCTTGTTACTATATTTCACATCCTTTCCTGATCAATCCATAAATTTAGGAATCTCTTCTTAGTATCTTGTTTAAATGTTACCTCTGCTGAATTTTGTTTTGAAGTCACTCTCGTCCATGTTTTATGTTTGTTTTTATATTTGCATCACTCCTGCTTTTCTTTAACTATTCCACTTTTTAATAGATAAAAGTCTTCTCACTTGAAGACCCAATGCGCTTCTTCATTTTTCCCATGATAATTTCTAAGTAGTAACCTCCAATGTGGCGGCATGTATAGTGGAAAGAAGATGTGAAAGAACAAAGAAAAAAATCGCAGGAGATGGGTGGAGATACTCAATGAATATTTTCCATCTGTGTTTATTGTGGAGAAGGATATGGAATCTAGAGAACTTGGGTAAATGAATAGAGACATCTTGAAAAGTGTGCATATGGAGGTGCTGGACATCTTAAAACACACAGAGGTAGATAAAGCCCTGTGACCTGATCAGGTGTACCCTAGAACTTTGTGGGAAGCTAGAGAAGTGATTGCTGGGCCCTTGCTAAGATATTTGTATCATTGATAGCCACAGGTGAGGTGCCGGAAGACTTGAGGATAGCTAATGTGATGCCACTATTTAAGAAAGGTAGAAAAGTGGTAAAGAAAAGTCAGGGAACTATAGACCGGTGAGCCTGACATCAATGGTGGGCAAGTTGTTGGAGGGGATTCTGAAGGACAGAATTTACATGTATTTGGAAAGGCAGGGATTGATTAAGGATAGTCAACATGCCTTTGTGCATGGAAAATTGTGTCTCACTGACTTGACTGAGTTTTTGAAGAGCTGATGAAGAGGATTGATGAAGGCAAAGCGGTGGACATGATCTATATGGACTTCAATACATGGAATACAGGGACAACTGGTCATTTGGATACAAAACTAGCTCGAAGGTAGGAAACAGAGGGTGGTGGTGGAGGGTTGCTTTTTAGACTGCAAGCCTGTGATCAGCGGTGTGCCACAAGGATCAGTGCTAGGTCCACTGCTTTTTGTCATTTATATAAATGATTTGGATGTGAACATAGGAGATATAGTTAGTAAGTTTGCAGATGACACCAAAATCAGTGGTGTAGCGGACAGCGAAGAAGGTTACCTCAGAGTACAACAGGATCTTGATCAGGTGTGCCAGTGGCCCAAGAAATGGCAGATTGAGTTTAATTTAGATAAATGTGAGGTGTTGCATTTTGGAAAGGCAAATCAGGGTAGGAGTTATGCAGGTATTGGTAGTGTCATGGGGAGTGTTGCCGAACAAAGAGACCTAGAGGTGCAGGTGCATAGTTTTTTGGGAGTGGAGTCACGGGTAGCAGGGTGGTGAAGAAGGCATTTGGCATGCTTGCCTTCATTGGCCAGTGCATTGAGTATAGGAGTTGGAACATCATGTTGCTGCTGTACAGGATATTGGTGAGTCCACTTTTAGAATACTGTGCAATTCTGGTCTCCTTACTATAGAAAAGATGTTGTTAAAATTAAAATGGTAAGATCCTGGGGAGTATTGCTGAACAGAAAGACCTTGTAAAGCAAGTTCATAGTTCCTTGTAAGTGGAGTCTCAGGTAAACAGGACAATGAAGACGGCATTTGATATGCTTGCCTTTATTGGTCAGTGCATTGAGTATACGAGTTGGATGTCATGTTGTGGCTCTACAGGACATTGTTTAGGCCACTTTTGGAGTACTGTGTTGGTCTCCCTGCTATAGGAGGGATGTTGTGAAACTCGGGAGGGTTCAGAAAAGATTTACAAGGATGTTGCCAGGGTTGGAGGGTTTGAGTTATAGGGAGAGATTAGATAGGCTGGGACTTTTTCCCCTGGAGCATAGGAGGCTGAGAGGATGACCTTATAGAGGTTTGTAAAATCATGAGGGGCATCATTAGGATGAATAGCCAGGGTCTTTTCCCTAGGGTGGGGTGTCCAAAGCTAGAGGGCGTCGGTTTAAGATGAGAGGGGAAAGATTTAAATGGTATCTGAGGGGCAACTTTTTCACACAGAGGGTGGTGCATATATGGAATGAGCTGCCAGAGGAAGCAGTGGAGGATGGTACAATTACAATATTTAAAAGGCATCTGGATGGGTATATGAATCGGAAGAGTTTACAGGGAAATGGGCCAAATGCTGGCAGATGGGTCTAGATTAATTCAGGATATCTGGTCGGCATGGACAAGTTATTACCGAAGGGTCACTTTCCATGCTATACAGCTGTATGACTGTATGACTATTAGCAGAAAGGTACATGGGATGAGAAGAAAACGGGGAGAGGGAAAGGATCTAGTGTTACTTAGAAAACAGAAACCACAAGGAACATGAAATGAAGACCTAAATAAAGATTGTGAAAAGCACAAGTGAAGGCCAGAGAAAGAGGACCATGGAAACTTTTAAAATTGCGAGAAAAATAGAAGTGAAGCAGGAAATGATACGCATTTTAGTAAAATAAAAAATTCAAAATTGTGAAACTGGAAAGAAACAGAAGAGTGAGAACCATGAGAGAGGATGGAGACATTTTTAAAAGACCTACCACTGCTTAACTGAATGATTGTCAGAAACACAGATTAACTTTGTGGTGCCCAGTTCAGTTGAGAACTGTCAAATGACATAGTTTTGTGCAAATTTATTGTCAAAACTTGCAATTAAATTCTGCACGTTGTGTGAATACATATTTATGATGCATGCTTACTGATATGGCCTTGATGTTCCTACTATAATTTTGTCGGCATTTGTATAAATGTGATGGTGTTAAACTTGTATAACCACATCATTGTAGTACGTTCTGAGGAAGGGTCACCGGACCCGAAACGTTAACTCTGTTTTTTCCTTCACAGGTGCTGCCAGACCTGCTGAGCTTTTCCAACAACTTTGTTTTTGTTCCTGATTTACAGCATCCGCAGTTCTTTCTGTTTTTATTGTAATACGTGTGCTTGAATATATATATTTGGAAACGATGCAACATCAATCTTGGAACAACTCTAAAAGAACTTCTTCGTAACTTGTTGAATATATACAATAAAGGACTTTGGCTGGGATCTGTCCAATGTTTAAGGATTGCAACTTTTTAATGAGCAATCGTCAGAACACCCTAGTTGGGTGATTTTGATTCAGCACCTCAGATTATTTTGCTAATATTTAGGTGATCTTTGCTCTTTTTGATCTACATATCAGCATGACTGAATCTTGTCCCATGACTCAACGAGAGGGAATATTGGAGTACTGCAGTATTTTGTCATACAGCAGGGCCACCTGATTCTTATTGCAGATGACCAGTCTTAGCAAAGGAGGTAGAGAATGCAAGAACTAAAGGCTTCAGCAAGTTAGAGATTCCTGAGGAAAAAAGAAATACATTTATGAAAAGCAGCCAAAGAAAAAGAAGTTTTTTTTGTTTTTTTGCATATTAGTATCAATCTTATACCCAATAAGATGTTTGTAAGAAAAATGAGAAAAATGACTGGAGACCTGACCATAAGCTGAAGGCCGTACTTTCACATTAAAGATTAGAAATACTCACCAGTTCCACTTACTAATCAGCTGCTTTGTTTAAGAAAAAGCAACTAAACACCTAACATATTTAATGTTTTCAACATGGAGAAAGTCACAGACTTCACAGGACTGGTTCAAATGTTTAATCTTCTGTCTTCTAAAACAGAACAGTCAATGCCAGTGATACCTGAGACGTCAGCAATTTTTCTGACCAGTCAGACAATGGGCAATTGAAGATGTCCAGCTTTAAAAAACACCTTGAGGGAGATAAGCTAAATATGACTCCATGTGAGCTAAACCAATGTCCAAAGATCCAGGACACAGTCAAGAAGAAGACATTACATGGTTCAAGCATCCCTTCCTATTAGAAAGTGATTGCCTGATCCAGAAATCCAGGATACCACAAGTAAGAAACTACTTACTTCAACAGAGCAGCTGTCTTCCAGGGAGGAAATTTGGGAGATTAAGAATTCTCTAAGTAAGATATTTGACCAACAACAGTGTCTGCAAAGAACGATGTCCTCTCCTCAGGATTTCCAAGATAGCTCAAGAAATCAGCAAGTTCTAAAACTGTTGGATGTTTTGGAAGAAAGAACAGTCAGAACTTCAATGTGTGAAGAATATAATCTGTTGTTATTTGCATGTCTTTTAGTTAGCTCAGTTGACTGTTTGGCCGGTTTACAGTACAGAGTGATGCTAACAGGGTGTGTTCACTTCCTACACCAGCTGAGGTTACCATGAAGGATTCTGCCTCTCAACCTCTCCTCACCTGAGGGATGGTGACCCCTGGTTAAACCACCACCAGCCATCTTTCTCTGATAAAAGAGCAATGCTGCGGTCCAGTAGGATTATGGTGACTTTACCTTTTGTTTTATGTTTGATTTATCTAAGAGTGAATCTGATTTCATTTAGTAAGTTGTGAATATGCCTGAGACCTATTGGAATGAGATGGACATGTGAATGAAGAATTATTTGGATTTGAATTGATTGTATAATTATAGGGAGAGAATTTAACGGTGTCTGGTTAACAAAAATAAAGCTCTCTTGCATAAGGCCAGGCAGCATCAGAGGAGCAGGAAAGCTGACGTTTTGGGCCTGGACCCTTCTTCAGAAATGGGGGAAGGGAAGGGGGCTCTGAAATAAATAGAGAGGGCTGGGCGGTGGTAGAAGGTGGATAGTGGAGCTGATAGGTGGGAGAGAAGACAGACAGATCAAGGAGGCGGGGATGAAGCTAGTAAAGGTGAATGTAGGTAGGAAGTTGGGATGGGTCACTGACCAACCCCCCTCCCAACTTCCTACCTACACTCATCTTTACGAGCTTCATCCCTGCCTCCTTAACCTGTCTGTCTTCTCTCCCACCTGTCTGCTCCATTATCTACCTCTATCACATTCCCCTCTCTATTTATTTCAGAGCCCCCTTCCCCTCCCCATTTCTGAAGAAGGGTCCAGACCCAAAACGTCAGCTTTCCTGCTCCTCTGATGCTGCCTGGCCTGCCGTGTTCCTCCAGCTCCACACCTTGTTATCTCAGACTCCAGCATCGGCAGTTCCTACTATCTCTCTCATATAAGTATGGACTTGAATTATGTTTAAAGAAGTCATTGCTTGGAGTATAATATCATATGTAGAAGAGATCACATAATTGATTCATTTCTCGAAAGAATCTTGATGAACCAGCTGGTATTTCCAACAATTGATGGTAGTTTCATGGTAATTATTACCGAGATTAGTTTTATATTCCAAATTTTATTAACTGAATTGAAATTACACCAGCGGCCATGGTGGGATTTGAACCTTTTGCTCTGAGCATTACGCTGGGCCTCTGGATTAATATAATCATTACATTATCGTTAACCCGGTATATTACTTAAGTACACAAATATGTTCACTCTAACATTCTAAAGCTATTTCAAAGCAAAGTCTGCTTTTCATTTCCCAGGGAACCTTTTTAATTTTTATTTCGTTGATGTTGTTTTGAAACATTGTTCATGTCAGTCACATCTTCTATCAATTAATAATAATGTTTTTACTTTGATTTAGGTTTCTGTCAGGCTGGCAAAGACCTACGTCTAGTATCGCTCTCTACAGAACAAATTGACATTCCACCAGGCTTTGTGCTGGTAGGAGCCAAGTCTCCAAATCTCCCTGAGCACATTCTGATCTGTGCAGTAGATAAACGATTTCTGCCAGATGACCATGGAAAGAATGCACTTTTAGGTGAGGATGATCTTATTTCTGACAGCAAGTTATTTGGTGGTATGATGGCATGTTTTTTCAGTTAAACAGTAGGTTACTTTTCTGAATGTATGTTTGCATTGGTATAAATGTCTACGAAAGGGATGATGCCACAATCAGTCAGAGAGAGGCCAATAATCATTTAGGCTGATACCTAATTCTCATTTAAAGTAGTCCTTTAAATTTCCAAATGGGAGACTTGCCTCATTTCTTATGATCAAAGGGGCATGTCTGTAGTTGTTTTGGACTTCTGAGCATAAATTTACTGTTAATCTTTCAATGCTGGCATTTCTTTCAAAGCAGAGAGCTCTGTATGAAAGCTAATGGTCAACAGGCCTTCTCCTATGTTGCACACAACCTATTTCAGTGTCTTCATGTTAGCAAATAATAATGGAACTGTTTGAATGCTTGTGACAGAGATTGTAGAATTACCACATATTTAATGTTGAACATACTTCACCCAGTATTCTTCTGCATAATTGGTGAATATTCCTATAGTTTGTGGATAACATTGTAGTAAATTAAATACATTTTAGCTAAAGACTGATTGAATGCTATAATTGGTCATTAATAGAAAATTATCTTCCAATTAAGTCTGTTGCCATACCTTTTACTGCTGATTCAATATATTGCTCTATAGTTTCATAGATTTGGAGTATTATGTGGTGAATTAAATTTTGTTCATTGTGTGTGGGTTGCACGCTTCCTTTGTACAAACTTGCCAGAGGGAAGGGCATTACGTTCTGACCAGACAGACTAAAGTTACACCAGGGAGCCAGCATCATTCTCAATTGGAACTTTTTGGGCAGAAATTAATTGATCTTGGAGTAAGTATGATGGTGGAAGTAGGCTGGCAGAATTGGGTGGTAGTACCTGCCTAAAATACTGGGTTCAAGAAACCCATCCCCCCATTAGGCTTGGGGCAGAGAAGAACCAATATGTAAATGCCACTTGCTGATGGTGGAATGTAAGTTTGGCTCATCAATGAGCCACTCAACACCAGCTATCCTTGTGCCTCCAGAATGTGGTTGTAGCTTGGGAATTTAACAGGACTTTCATCCCTCCCAAAGCCAACTCAGCAAGCCCCTTTTGGTCTGCTAGTCATCTTGGAGGTGGGTGTCCCTTACAGATGGACCCTTAGTGCCCACTCATGTCCTGGCATTGGGAGAGAAAAGGCTGCTAAAAATCAGCGCTCTGTTCTTGACTCCAATCCCTTCTGCCAATACTCTCACCAAGACTCTCATCTCACCTGTGCCTGGTGGATACAATGGCAATCCTTGGGCTGGGCCTTTAGAACATCACAAGAAGCATCCACCACTCTCCAGCAATGCTGCTGACAATGGAGAACTTCCGGCCCCTGATCAGCAAGCCCTTGGGGGATTTTCTGCTCAGTTGTGCTTGATTGTATGGAATTTCCATGTTGACTAGAAAAGTTCCTGAGAGCACTTAACTAGCTTCTGATCTTGTCTTTGGGTGAGGTGCAGCCCATTCAGGACTGATCTGAGGAGAAATTTCTTTACCCAGAGAGTGGTAAGTGTGTGGAATTCTCTGCAACAGAAAGAGGTTGTGGCCAAAACATTGACCATTTTCAAGAATGAGTTAGATATAATTAAGGCTAAAGGGATCAAGGGGAATGGGTAAAAAGCAGGAACAGGATGAGTTGGATGGTCAGCCATGATCATATTGAATGGTGGAGCAGGCTCAAAGTGCTGAATGGCTTACTCCTGCCCCCATTTTCTATGTTCTTTGTAAGTGGTGGACAGGAAAATGAGGAGCTGGGAGTTGAGTTACTCACTGCAGGATTCCTAGTCTCTGACTTGCACTTACAGCCATGGTAATTATATGACAGGTCCAATCAACGGTAACACCAGAATATAGATAGTGGGGCATTCAGTGATGGAAATTTCATTGGCTGTGAAGGGATGGTGGTTAGATTCTCTTTTGTTGGAGATGGTCGTTGTCTGGCATTTGTGTCGCACAAATCTCAGCACTTTCTGTGGTTACTTATTTTGTAGGAATCAGGTTGACGTGAAACACCACAGTTAGCCACATGAGCTGTGGAGATCCAGAAAAGGTTCAAAACAAGCAATGTTTTTCTTTGTGAAGCTTAAGTCATATCCATTTAAGTCAGCATTCTCACCATCTGCCCTTACTGCTGTTCCCATGACGACAGGTTTCTCGGGGAACTGCATTGGCTGTGGAGAGAAAGGATTTCGGTATTTCACTGAGTTTTCCAATCACATCAACTTAAAGCTGACAACCCAGCCGAAGAAGCAGAAGCACTTAAAATATTACCTGGTCAAAAACTCTCAAGGTATTTTCTCCAAAGGACCACTCATCTGCTGGAAAGGTGATTATACTCAGTAAATAACCTGGTACATTCTAGCAACTTAGCCACTTGATCTACACTGAACAATGATTTTCAGATTGTTTTTCTGGATTTATTTTAGTGCCTCCAACTAACTTGCCAGTTATTTCAATGCAATCTTATATTAGTCTGAATAAGCAGTTCATTAGAATGGAAAAAACATATTTTATGGGGCAGCACGGTGGCTCAGTGGTTAGCACTGCTGCCTCACAATGCAAGGGACCCGGGTTCGATTCCACCCTTGGGTAACTGTCCGTGTGGAGTTTGCACATTCTTCCCATGTCTGTGTGGGTTTCCTCCAAGTGCTCTGGTTTCCTCCCACAGTCCAAAGATGTGCAGGCTAGGTGGATTGGCAATGCTAAATTGCCCATCATGTTCAGGGATGTACAGATTAGGTGGGCTATAGGGGTACAGGTCTGGGTGGATGCTCTGAGGGTCAGTGTGGATTTGTTGGGCCGAAGGGCCTGTTTCCACACTGTAGGGATTCTATGATGATGATGTATACTTAAAGAGTCTTTACAAATTGAGTTATTTATACAATGGTACTTAGCAGAAAAGTAAGGACCATCTCTTATATACAGACAAGAAAATTTCCTCTGTTATTTGTAGCAAGTGGCAATGATATGTGAGGTAGCAAGTTATTTTTGCAAGAATCTAAACTGCTTTGCTTTAGAACCAAGTTCAAATCCCACCTACTCTGAGGGATGTCATAACCTCTCTGAACAGGTTGGTTACAGAATGTCTAAATTACTTTGAATTGCCTCTCATTGCAGTACCTGAGTTTTGAATTTTGAATTGTGCAGAGTTTTTCAGTTTATCATACCTGTTAATAATGAAATGAAGGTTTGAATCCAGCCCAAAAAGATGAATAAAAATGTCTCTTCTTGAATGGCCGTAAAGATCCTAAGCAAAATGAGGCTGTGGTGTAAACCATGGTCGGAAGTCCAGCCGGAAACTTTGGCGCGGCTGATGTACACCAGTGTTTGATTGTAAAAGTCTCTGGCTTAATTTTTCTTCATATTGTATTGCAGAAGTGTCCACTCTTCTACTAACAGCTACATGTAAATAAATGAGTTGGACAGGAATGAAGGTGCCTCGTCTAAATTCTTCTGTCCTGTGAGAATGGACATCATTATGTAAAAGGCATAGTTTGCCAGAATTAATTCATTAAGGTGAAAGTACTTAGTTGAAGGGACATTACTGAACTGAGAGAGATGGAGGAGACTTTTGATCCTAACTTGGGATGCACTGTATATATTAATATTTATTTTTGCTGTTTCATGATAAAGAGGCTGTTAAGAGGTTGAGATAACACCGTGTGGAACTGGAGGAACACAGCAGGCCAGGCAGCATCAGAAGAAGGGTCCTGACCCAAAACATCAGCTTTCCTGCTCCTCTGATGCTGCCTGGCCTGCTGTGTTCCTCCAGCTCCACATTGTGTTATCCCTGACTCCAGCATCGGCAGTTCTTACCTCAGCCTCTCAAAAGAGATAGCATGTGTTGGCAAAGCATAGAGCTGGGTGAGGAAACTGACCCTGCTTCAGAGTAATCATGTGATCATGTCTCGTGTGAGGCCTTGATTTTATTTTTAAAATGTATAACGCAGGCATAGCCATGAAATGTCAGTAGGCCTGACACTGAATTAAAAATAATAACACGTCCTTTGAAATGTTATTAGAATGCCGGACTCGTCAGTCGCCTAGCAGTTATTCATCTGCGCTACCCTCTACCAAGTCGGTTGCTGCAGTCGTGGGTGCTGCTGCGCCTTCTCCAAATATAGACACTGTGTCATCCAGTGGTTACAGCACTACTGTTGCCAGTTCTCAGACAGGTAGGTTTTTGCAGTTGCTGAGTATATAGATTCATAACCTGATGTGCAATGTGAAGCATTTGAAATTATTAACTTGGTACATAATTGGTGCCATTTGCTCTTTGCTTTGACAATCTAGATATATCAATACCATTTGTGACACAACACAAATGTTCACTGTGAAAGAATAATGAGGAATTTTTTTCTTACAAGAGGAAGGTTTCCTCTCAAATACTGTACGCTGTTTTGCCAGAGTGGGTAAGACTCCCTCTTTTTGAGGAACTATTCACTGCTCCAATATTCCCAATTTACATGAGGGAAATACTAATGAATTGGTACAACTCCTTGCTGGGAACATGGTGTCAGTATGTTTACAATGTTCTTTCATCATCTTTTCCTTGGGTCTGTCTGCATCTTGCATCATGGTTGAGAAGGGAACTAAATGATCCACATCCAATCACTGCCATGCTGGTTTCAAGTTGACCCTGAAGAGCTTTGTCAGAATAAACGTAGCTAACTATTTCCGTACTTTTCTGTTATGTCCCTGCATGAAAATTGATCTTCACTCAACTTTTTGGCGAAGATTACAATCTAATTTGTAAGAGTTCATTGGACAAACCTTGCATCTTTGTATTGTGGGGTCAAGATACCTGAAGAACACTAATGTGTTTCCAGTTCTGTACTCCCATTCTCTGAAAGACATTAGCTTATATTGAATGAAAGGTTGACAGTTTCAGCGTGGAAATGTAATTATATGGCCATTCTTAATGAGTAAGTTTACCGTAGAGATGCACAGAACAACCGTAGTGCCCAAATGTCAGTTTTAGCCAAGATCAGCTCAGTCAACAGCAACCAAGAGGTGAATGTGAATTGATTTTATTCCAGGTCAGTATAGCTCAGTTCTAAAATTGAAACTGCTTTTAACTACTGTAGGAGTTCCTTTAACATAAGTGTTGCAGGGGGCTCCTTTACTATGATGCTTAACATAAGTTAATTGATATTTGATATTATGAAGAGGGGAAGCGAAACATTAACTTAGCATGAGGGAGAGGTGGAGAGACGAAGTGTAATATAAACACAGAGAAAACTAAAATTGTATTGTTGTGTATAATTAGTGGTGATATAAAATGTAATTGTGTGTGTTGTGCGAAAGACACATTCATTGAATGAATATCAGTATTTTATTGAAATGTTGTTGTACTAAAAGTAGCTAAGTTCAACTTGCAGGGAGTGGTAAGTGTCAGGTTAGAAATATCTGAATTTACTACAATGTGAAGAACTTGTAACTGCAAATAATTTTGACAGAGTTCTGCATTATATTAGCTGTTACACTTATCAGCAGACAGCTGAACAAACCATTTATTTTCTGTAGTTATTTAATCATAAATTCAATGGCACAGTGGCTAAAAATATCCCAAATCATTTTGATTTTTTTTAAACTACAGCTGGAAGTTTATTAGAAATGTTTTATTTTCTTACTTTTTTTCTACTACTTCAAAGTCATTTAAGTTTATTTGTGATCCAGTGTCATTGAAGGCACAGATTGTGATGATAAATTTAAGTGGCATAAACAGATTAATGATAAAAAAGGCTGCATTATCAAGATTGGGGCCTGAGTGTTCCAAGTACTCAATTTTATAAAACTCTTGGCTCCACTATGTGATAATAAAAGTTGTGTAAAATATAATACTTCATACGTTGCAGAGTCAACATTTAGTCTCTGTCCAGTATCATCTGCTGCCAATTACCCAGGATGCCAGGACCTGTCCAGGAATGGAAACATAGCAAAACCTCTGGCTCTATCCATGCAACACCTTGGGAAACCTCCAATAACAGGTGTTTTTTTTTCCCCTATTTCTCTCCGTTGTTCATCAACTGTGGATCAGTTTTTTTAGAAAAACTTGCTACTATTAAGGGACACCATCTTGCCTACCATCAGGACCCTAACATTACTGGTTTTGGGCTGGCATGGAATGGGCAGGATTTGTGAAATCTATTGAAGATCACTCATTCAGTTTAACTTGTCTTTCTGGGAATGTAGGTAGTCTTAAGCCACTTGGCACTTCCTCAAACAGTTGACCTAAATTCTGACTTACATGTTTGGATATAGTCACACAATAATGTTTCTTATTTGTTTATTGATATCATGATGATCATTGCTTAGCTGAAGTTTTGTTTTGTTCCTTGTAATTCATTGATCTGCTGTTTTACTAGTCATCTTTCCTGCTGCATTACCACTGGAATGAAATGAATGCATTTATTATTTACTCATTCTTTTCATCTCTTGACCTTTCCTTCTTCAAAAAAACTGCAAATATTAAAACTCCAAACTTGACGTCTTGTAATCTCTACTTATTCATTTACTTCATCTTCTCTTCAATTCTTTTCAGATATTGTGGTACGTTAAACAATAGAGTAAATTTTATAAGGCTGTATCCCTTGCACATAGCTGTGCTCAATGAGAGTGTCTGATTGGCAAAGCTCCTAATTCTCTCCAACTTAAGTGTATTCCCTATGCTCCCCATAAATATATACTGCAATCGACTAAGCCCCTTCATCTGGCTTTCTAAGTAACAAGATAGAAACCTACATCAGCAGTTCAGAAAAGATATAAAGGAGTTAGAAAGGGTGCACAGAAGCTTTATTGTGATTTTACCAGGGGTGAGGAACTTTGATTATGAGGAGGTATTTGAAAATTTGTTCTCCCTAGAATGGAGAAAGTTAAGATGTGACTTATTAGAGGAAGTTGATGAGAGATTTTGGTAGAATAGTTGGTGAAATACTATTTCTACTGACAATTGAAGGAATAACCAGATATCATTGGTTTTTACATCTTGGGAAAATGTTCTAGATGGAGGATGAAAATTTTTCATTGAGAATTGCCAGAATATAGCATACATCTGAAAGAATGGAAGCTGATTTCATAAATAATTTTATTATGTTAATATACAGACATTAAGGATGAGGAAGTTTTGGTGTTACAGATAAAACAGAGATGTGGTACTCAGAATGTTAGCCCTATCAAAGAGCCAAAAAGCGTGATGTGCTATATGCTCTGTTTCTCTGATATAAGTTGCTAGAATTCTAAATATCCTAGGATTTAACCATGTACTTAATGGTGAACAGCCTTCTTGAACCATTTCACTGGATGGGGGCGTCCACTGTGCTGTACAGGAGGGAATTCCAGGATTTTGACCTAGAGACAGTGAAGGAGCGGCGATATTGTTCCAAGTCAGGATTTGGTGTGACTCAGAGGGGAACTTAAAGGTGGTATTGTTCCTATGCACCTGTTGTACTTGTCCTTTGAAGTGGTAGGGGTTGTGAGTTTGGAATGTGATGGAGAAGAGCTTTGGTGTGTTACTGCAATGTATCTTATAGATGGTACACATTGCTGCCACTCTGTTGGTGGTGAAGAGAGTAAATGTTGAAGGTGGTGGTTGGACTGCCAGTCAAATGTAATGCTATGTTCTGTATATTGTCAAGCTTCTTCAGTTCAAGCTGCACTCATCTAGTTCTGCTGAAGTGGCGAATATTCTATCACTCTCTTGATTTGTGCTTTGTAGATGGCGTATGGGTTTTAGGGAGTCAGGAGGTAAGTTATTCACCTCAGAATTCCTAGCCTCTGACTATTCCTCGCCATTGTATTTACATAGTATTCAATGATGGTATAATGCCTTTGAATGTCAAGGGTTAGATTCTCTCCTGTTGGAGATGGTCATTGCTTGACAGTTGTCTGGCGCAAACATTGCTTGGGGAATATCAGCTGAAAGAATTTTAGCAAATTAGGAATTTAAATTTCATTTCTCAGAAATAGAATTTAGTTATGAGTCAAATTTGTATAATACTTTCATATTCTTCATCATACTGAAGTTCCAAAAATAGTTTCCTCATTAGGTACCACCCATCAAAGCTGGTATATAAATTCTAATAGCAAACATACTCAAGCAAAAGACACTAAATTAAATATCGATGATAGTGAAACAGAATGAAGGAACAACCCCAGTTTAACGTCAGGTCCATGTATCGATAATATTAAAAAAACTTGTTTGAATAAGTGCGATAATTCAAATATGGATTAATATTAATTTGATACAACCTTCTTTTAAATCTTTAATATCAACTTTTCTTTCATAAGTCTTGATTTATGTCTTATGTAGCTGCCTCTACAAATGCCCAGTCACCTGGATCTGTGCGAGTTAATGCTAATACCAATAGTAACAACAATGGTGGAAAATCCAATCTCTTCAGTGCTTCTTTACCTCGGCTTCAAACTCTTTCAACTTCATCAAGTCCTGGCTTAACCTCAGGAGATAACAGTAAGAACATCTTCTAATCATCATGTATTTATTTTTATAATAGGAGATCAAAGACTTTGTGCTTGAGCTAAACCATTAAACCAATAATAATTTTTTTTGCAAATAAGCTTCATGTGCATTGTGGATGTATATGATCACATCCAAACCACTAGTGGTACAAGCATTCCACTTCAATTACTGTATTCTCATATTAGGGATACAATCTGACACTTCCAATATTTCAAAGGAAGTTTATAATTGTAAGATAGAATATCTTCAATGTGAAGTAATTCATTAGTAATTCATTACAGGTAGGTGATGAACTAGTGGTATTGTCGCGAGACTAGTAAACCAGAGACCTAGGTAATGTTCCAAGGGCCCAGGTTTGAATCTCATTGTCACAGATGGTGGAATTTGAAACCAATGAAAACAAACAAGAAATCTGGAATTAAAAATCCAATGAAACCATGGTCATAAAAGCCCATCTTGTTCACTAATGTCCTTTGAGAAGGGAAATCTGCCATCTCTACCTGGTTTGTCTTGCATGTGACTCCAAATCAAATCATAGCGGTTGACTGTGCTCTGATATGCTTTAGCAAGTGACTCAGTTGTATCAATCACTAAAAAGGAAATAAGGAAGGAAACCAGAATGACCATCTTGCATTAGGCTTAAACACTGGAGCTGACGACAGCTAACACACCGTGTCAAAGGTACAAAGTTCTCCCTGCTAGCATCTTGGGGCTACTACCAAATGGAAGAGCTGAGTCATGGACATGCCAAGCCACAACCTGATATGATTATACATAGACATACACACAAAATCACATCTTACGAACAGTATAGTATCCCAGACAACACTGTCACCATCCCAGGGTAAGTCCTGTCACAACAATTAGTATTGGTAGGACTGACCACTGCACAGTCTGTGAACGAAGTGCTGCTTTCACGTTGAGCATACACTCCATCATTTTGTGTGGTACTATCACTGTGCTAAGTAGGATAGACTTTGACCAGATCTAGCAACTCAAGACTGGACATCTATGAAGCACTATGGGCCATGAGCAGCAGCAGAATTGTACTCCAATGCAATCTGCAATGTCATGGCCCTGCATATCCCCCACTCTACCATTACCATCAAGCCAGGCATCAGCCCTGGTTCAGTAGAGAGTGCAGGAGGTCATGCCAGGAGCAACACCAGGCAAATCTAAAAATGAGGTGTCAACCTGGTGAAGCCACAAAGCAAGACTAGTTGCATGCTAAACAGCATAAGCAGCAAGTGATAGATGGAGCTAGGTGATTCCACCACCATTGGATTAGATCTAGGCTCTGCAGTCTCGCCGCATCCAGTCATAAATGGTGGTGGACAATTAATCAACTCACTCGAGGAGGAGGCTCCAAAACTATTGATGGGTGCTTAGCACATCGATAAGACTAAAGCAATTGCAACAACCTTCAACCAGAAGTGCCGAGTGTTTGATCCATCATGGCTTCCTCCAGAGGTCCCCAGCTTCAAAGATGCCAGTCTTCTACCAATTTTATTCACTCGACGTGATGTCACGAAATGACTGGAGGCATTAGATATTACAAAGGCTGTGGGCTGTGACAACATTCCAGCAACAGTATTGAAGATGTGTGCTCCAGAAGTTGCAATCTTCTAACCAAACTAACACTCAAATCTACGTGACAATGTGGAAAATTGCCCAGGTATGTCCCATACACAAAAGACAGGACAAATCCAACCCAGCTAATTACAGCCTCATCAGTTTACCTTCAATTAGCAGTAAGTTGATGTAAGTACCGTAATAATGCTATCAAATAGCACTTGCTTTGCAATCACCTGCACCCTGACCATCAGTTTGCATCCCACTAGTGTCACTCAGCACCTGACCTCATTAGAGCCTTAGTACAAACATAGACAAAAGAGTCAAATTCCACTGGTGAGGTTGAGAGTGACTGGCATTGACACCAATGCTGCATTTGACCGAGTGTGGCATCAAGTATCCCTAGCCAAACTGGAGTCACTGGGATACAGGGAGAACTGTTTGGAGTCAAACCTAGTATAAAGGAAATTGGTTGTGTTTGTTGGAGGTCAGCCATCTCAGCTCAAGGACATCTCTGGAGAAGTTGCTTAGGGTAGTGTCCTAGCGCCATTATCTTCAGTTGCTTTAACAATGACCTTCCCTCCATCTTGGGGTCAGAAGTGGGGATGTTTGCCAGTGATTGTGCAATGTTCAGACCATATGTGATACTGAAACCATCCGTGTCTAAATACAGCAAGGTCTGGACAGTATCCACGCTTAGACTGACAAGTGGGAAATAACATTTGCAGCACACAAGTGCCAGGCAATGACCATCACCGTTTCGCCTTGATTTTCAGGGGCTTAGGCATTACTGTATCCTCTACTATCAACATCCTGAGAGTTATCATTTGACCAGAAACTGAACTGGACTAACCTCAAAACAGTGGTTAAAAGAGCAAGTCAGAAGCTAGAAATCCTGCACCGAGTAACTCACCTCCTGACTCCCCAAAGCCTGTCCACCATCTACAAGGCACAAGTCAAGAGTCTGATGGAATACTGCCCACTTGCCTGGATGAATGCAGCCCCAACAACGCTCAAGAAGTTTGACACCATCCAAGACAAAGCAGCCTGCTTGATTAGCATTACATCCACAAGCATCCACTCCTTGCACCACCAATGCTAATAGCAGCAGGGTGTGCTGTACCATCTGCATGATGCACTGCAAAAACTCACCAAGGTTCCTGAGACTGCATCTTCCAAAACCATGAACTATTGTCTGGAAGGTCCGGGGCAGCACACTACTTCCACAAAGAAGTAGGATAGTTTATGAATTACTAGCAAGGGTGTGCTCTTCCTCTCCATGTCGTACTTAATTACTATCATGTCAAGTATATGACACTATACTTTGCCATTTGGTTCAGTCAGCCCATTATTGGTAATTATCCTCTATTCGAGCTTTCTCTCATCTTTCCTCATCTGTTTATCATCATAGCTTTCTATTTCTTTCTTATTTTATTTGCTTCAGCCATACCCTGTGGTGACATTCTTAACATTATTTTGGTAAAGAAGCTTCTTCTGAATCTACTACTGAAATTTTTGATGATTACCTTATATTGATGGTTTCTAGTTATGTTGTTGTCCACAAGAGTAAACAGTCCCTTTTGTAATGTTAAAGATCTCCATTAGATCACCCTTCAGGCTTTTTTTAGAGAGACCTGGCCTGTCGATCATTTCCTGATATGTATACACAATTATTTTTCATACCATGTTTGTAAACTTTCTCTGCATCTTTTCCAATGCCTTTATATCCTTTTTGATAATATGACAACGAAAACTGCGTGCAGTACACCAGGTACGGCCTTACTGAACGCAGAAAGAGTTTTCTTAACTTTTCAGTTCTGTCCCTCCAGAAATAAAGCCCTTGGTTTGCTTTTCACAAGGCTTTGCTGACCCCTCTCAAGAGCCTACAAATTAATTGCCCTATGTCAACCATTGACCCATAACATCAGTACCAACAGGGACATAGATTAAATGCTTGCCGTATGCGTTTATTTCCCCATTCTTCCTCCCTGTGAATTTGCTTAAGTTTTCTGAACAGTCATACAGGCTGTATTGATCCTTTTTATAATCACAGTTTTCAACTTCATCACAGTACTTCCAAAAATAATATGCACTGTAAGTTAAAATATTTGTTTATTCCTTAAACATAAAAGTCCTTCCTTTCATTATTTACAGCCATTATGACAAGCTCTGGGCCGCCTAAGAAACGTCATCGTGGCTGGTCACCTGGGTCCCCCATATCTGCACCTGCAGTAGCCCCTGTTCCAGCTGTGCAGCCAGTGACAAGATCTGGTAAGAAATGACTGAAAACACATCAGCTTAAGAGTGAACTCTTTCATTGCTACTTCTTGCATAACCAAGTAGATTAGAACATATGACATAGGAGCAAGGGCCATTCAGCCCATTGAATCTGCTCCATCATTCAATGAGATCATGGTTGAAATGATAGTCCTCAACTCCACTTTCCTGCCTTTTCCCTATTACCCTTGTTAGGTTAAAAATCTGTCTGTCTCAGCCTTGAATATATTTAATGACCTAACTTAATCAGCCCTCTATGGTAAAAAATTCCACAGATTCACAACCTTCTGAGAGAGGAAATTTCTCCACATTTATGTCTTAAATGTGTGACCCCTTATTCTGAGATTATGCTCTGTTGTCCTAGGCACCTCCACAAACGAAACAGCCTTTCTGCATCCACTCTGTCACGCCCCCTAAGAATCTTGTACGTTTCAATAAACTTGTCTCATTCTTTTATATTCCAACAAGTACAGGCCCAAACTACTCAAACATTCCTCATAAGGCAGTCTCTCCTTACGTGATATCAGCCTCGTTCCTCTGATGCCAGTATATTGTTCCTCAGATAAGGGGCCCAAATATGTTCGTAGTATTCCATCTGTAGTTTGATTAGTTTTTGTATAGTTTTAGCAATATGCCCTACTTTTATACTCCATTCCCTTTGAAATAAAGAACAATATTTTGTTTGCCTTCCCTATTACTTTCTGAATTTGACTCCGAGGTTTTTTTTGTAATACATGGTCGAAGATTCCTAAATTTCTCTCTTCCGTCGCTTTCTGCAGTCTTTCTCCATTTTCAAAGTATTCAGCTCTTCTATTCTCCCTGTCAATGTGCATAGCCTCGCATTTCCCACATTATATTGCACCTGCCAAGCTTTTGCCCACTTGCTTAAACCTGTCGGTATTGCTCTGCAGAATCTTTATGTGATTCTCACGTATTTTTTCATCCACAAATTTGGCAATAGTACATTCACTTTCTTCATCTGAGTCATTAACATATATTGTAAATAATTATGGCCCCAGCAATGATCTCTGTGACTTCCACTAGTAACAGGTTGCCATCCTGAAAATGCCCCCTTATCCCAACTCTCTGTCACAATTGATGTCTCCCTTATGCTGCCCCTTGTGACATCATCTGGAAACACACCATTAGGTTTATCAAATACACTGATGATACTCACCTCACTGTCACTTCTCTCAATCTTTCCACTGTCTTTGATTTGTTACAGTGCTAGATGAACAGAAATATCTGCTTGTCCAGTATTCCAGCTTCCACTCTAAACAAATTTCAGCTCATCTAAAACTCTGCCCATAAGCCAACACCCCTCCAGTCCTGTTCACCCAGCACTCCTTGCTGTCTGCCCCAGCCTGACTGACGTTTAAAGTTTAAAGGCATGATGGATCAATTGTAATTTTAACACTGTGAAATATGGGCAACCAGACAACAGTATGCTGTAGTTCCATGTTAAACTATTGAGCTTGCCATAGAGCCAGTCTTGTTCACTATATCAAGATGCCTTGGAGCAGATTTTCCCCTGCCTGATTTACACGATCGGCCGCCACCCCGGTCCAATCATCAGTAGCTCAGAGGAGCACATGTACAGTATGTTTTTTAGTTTACTCCCCCTGAAAGAACTATGGTTTAATGTTGTGTAAGTTTATAATTATGCTACGCAGTGTAAAAAGGTGGTGGTATTATAAACTGTGGCAAATTGAGACAAGCATGGACATCTCTGAAGAAGTCTTGGTTATAGACAGTATGTGTGACCGAGAAACTATTAGTATAATTTGATAGTACTGCATGCTATTGTGGATTATCAACATTTTCAATTGGGTATCATGTTTCAGAAAACAATTTACCTTTGTCATTTTTTTTTAACGTGAGCGTTCTGAGCAACATTAAAACTGCCTCATTTCCTCATTGTTTATCTGCATAGATACTTTGCTGCCCATTCCTGTTCCTCAGTCAATGATAGCTGGAGTTTTGCAGCCACAGGCAATACCTGCAGGGGAAACTGTTATCATCCCTGAAAATTTATTAAGCAATTCTGGAGTGAGACCTGTTATTCTGATAGGTATGTAGCTTTCTTGCTATTCTTGATCTAACATTTACAGCATCATTATTTAATTGTTCCTCAATAGAATTTTCATGTTAAGATATGTGTTTTTAAATATTTTAGTTAATTTAAAACAAGATGGGCTGTATTGTATTTTAATGAAAGAGATATTTATTGAGTTTATACCAGCAATATGAAACATTATCTGCTGATCACATGTCTGGAGTTTAGAAGGATGAGACCTTCTGATTGTGGTATACAAGATTCTGAAGGAATTTAATGGAAGCTGAGAGATTATTTGTGTTGGTCAAGGAAGCTAAACCATGAAGTGAAGTCTTGGGATAATGGTTTGGTCATTTAGGACTGCAATGAGGAAAAACTACTTTGTTCAAACAGTTTTAAATCTAAAGAATTTTCTACCCAATAAGGTTGTGGATACTATATCATTGAACCCTTTAAGGCTGAGACAGCTTTTGATCTCCCTGGAATTTGAGGGAAATGGGAACAGGCAGGAAATTGGAATTGAAGATCAGTCGTTATCCTGTTAAATGCTGGAGCAGTCTCGAATGGTCATATGATCTATTCCTGCCCCTGTTTCTTTTTCTCACATATCAGGAGGTCAGGGCCCTGTAATCCATTGTACCATTTAATATAAATATGTCAAACTATCTTTATAAGTATCATGTTCCCTGTATAAAGACCTTGCTGAATGAAGGTTATTGATTTTGTTTTTTTGGCTTAATGAAAACAGAAACTTCAGCTATGTTGCAGTAATTCAAAACTTATCTCTGCTATCTGCAAATATTTGCAAAGATGTGCAGTTTAAGTGGGTTCGCCATGCTAAATCACCCATAATATCCAGGGATGTGCAGGCTGGGTGGATTAGCCATGGGATATACAGGTTAAAGGGACAGTGTAGTGGAGTTGGGTCTGGGTGGGATGCTCTTTGGAGGGTCATCGTGGACTTAGTGGGCCAAATGCCCTGTTTCCACACTGTAGGAATTCTGTGGTTTCCCTGTGTTTGATTTCAGGACAAGTATACTCTACTGTGCAATCTGGTTCTTTGGGTATTAGACTTTAATGTATATTTTTAAAATGATTTTCTCCCTTTCTCTTCAAAGGATAGTAGGATTTATACAATTGACCAAGAAAAACACGTGATTTTAAACTGCTTGTGTGGCATATGATCTATTTTTTATAAGAACGGTTGTAGGATCAAGTTGTAAAGTGTTGAGACTCATTTCACATTTATTTGCCTATGTATGGTTTAACAACTTTTAAATAATCAAGTTTATGAACTTAAATTTGACCTTGTCTCATGATTATGAAAGTCAATCTTCTGAAGGATTGGAGTAGCTCAAGTGAGAAATGGTATTTAGTCCTTATAATATAGAATCTCATTGTTATACCTCCCATGTGCTCTTCAGCATTTGTATATCTAGATTTTTTTTTGGTTGTTGCTAATTGTAAGTGATGTCTAAGCATCAAAGTGAAGTTATTGATCACAACCAGGGGCAACAGTCTTAGCTTATTTCTGTTCTATCTCAAGGATGTTAAGACCAACTGTAGCATCCTGTCACTGTGCTGGCTGAAATTAAGTACAATCCCCCTGGATTAGGGATTAATATAGAGGCTGTCTGATCTCCATACCTCAGGAGCACTTAGCTTATTTACCTTACGAATGTGGCAATTTTGCTAATGATTTAATAACAGAAATGTTCTTCTAGAGTTTAACGTATATGATTCAAAACATTTATACTTGACATAATCTATCTGTTTTAGTTATAGAACTTCCAGTTTTAAGAACTGGATTTTAAGTATGGACATATGGAAACATTTGATTAAGAAATTGGTGTACAACCCTTAAGTAATTACAATTAAAGCAGACCTGGAGTAATGCGTTGTAAGGAAAAGTTATATTGTATTGTTAGGATGATAGTAAAAGATATCCACACCTGGGATTCTGAAGACCATTGTTCTGCAGACACCAGTTTATTTCAAAAGAGCTCGGATAATTTTTTGAACTTGGAATATAAGTCAGAGAGGTTTCAATTATTCAAGTAGATTTTTCAGATCAAAGAAGCCAAATGCCACTGGTAAAGTCTGGTTTCTTGTTGAAACCAGTAAGTCCAGTGAAAGGGCTGATATTTTCTCTTCTGAAGACGAAATATAATTAATTTACATTTCTGTTAGAAACATTGAGTATGCCACATTGCTGTGGGGATAGCCTATATATTGAAGAAGTTTATTTTGTGTTTCGGGTTTACATGTGTGTGTTCTGATAAACACAGGCTGAGGGAGAAAAAGCTGCCAGGAGTAAGATTTGAAGGCAGCTAGAACAAAGAGAATGGAGGCCATCAGGAACCAGGGGTGTTCCTGATCTTGAATTATTAAGCAGATATTGTAAGTGGACCCCATGTTAAGAATGAAAAGCACAGTTTTAAAAGGAATTAAAATGATAAAATCTGAATGACAATGCTCTTGAAAAATCTTGGCAGTCAAACCCGTCCAGAAGTCTAAATATCAAACTGTGAAACTGAGGAAAATCAAATGACTTGCTGAGAGCTGTGGCACTCTTTGGTTAGGCTCCAGCAGGAGAACTGAAAGCCCTTCAAGATCTTGGAAATTATATAGGAATTTTTAGGGTAGAATAGAAAACAGAATGGGGATGGTCTATTGAACATAGAACATTACAGCGCAGTACAGGCCCTTCGGCCCTTGATGTTGCGCCGATTGAGATCTTTGGTTTAACATCTAAGCATTTACAAAATGTATATAATACTAAATTAATAGTACTTAGTTTAATTTTTGTAAAATGTAAGTATTTTATTTAAAATAGGAAACTTTGTAATGTAGTTTTCTCAGTTAATAACTGGAAGTTTGAGTTAAATTTTAAAAGTTAATGATCGCCTTTGAACCACAGCGATATATTTGTGATGTACTCAAACCTAGACAATTGGATTTGATAATGGGTATTAAGGAAACACTAAAACATTTCTGATATTTTGCAGGTTATGGCACTTTACCATATTTTTATGGCAATGTTGGTGATATTGTAGTGAGTCCTCTACTTGTGAATTGTTACAAGTTTCCACAGCTGACTTCAGTTGAACTGGAACAGCTAGGAATCTCCAACAGCCAGACCCTAACTGTGGAAAACATGATCCTCTTGACAATACAATATCTGATTCACCTGGGTAAGATTTCTGTTTTCTCTTGAAGAAACATAAGATTATACTCATTCTTTTTCTTTTGTTTTTACTTTCTAACGAGGTTGGAAAATATTTTTGCTGAAAAAATGGTTCTGAAATATTAATGATATTTATCTAGAATTGACTACCAGGTTTCTAAAGATCCAACTGAACTTTGTGGAGCCAATGAGAAGGGTTTTGACTGAAATTGCAGTGAGAGACTGATGGAAGCATTCAATAACTTTGGTGTTGCTATGTTTTATCAAATGTGAGAGGTGTGTCATTCTGATCTAAGAAGAAACAAACTCTCCTACTGTATTGGAGAGTTAGCCTTGACTTTTACAGTCAAATTCTAGATTGGGACTTGGATTCACATTCTCCTAAATTAGAAGCAAGAGTGCTTCTGACTGAATCACAGTTCACTGTGTAGTTTCCCAATCTACCTAAGACAACTCCCCTCTTCATACCTCCATGGTATACTTGCTTTAGATTTAATGACGTAGTTTGAGGCTTCACTAAATCACTTTAAAACGCAACATAACACTCTCTCATGTTATAGTTATTCTATCGAGAGGTCCTTTTTCCAAAAGATTATTAATTTTAATCTTTTTATTGCAAAAGGCTACATCCAAACTAGCTTGTTCCCTCATTGGTTCCTTGAAATACTAATCTAGAAAACTATCTTGTATATATTCTTGAACTTGTCCATCATATTAACCCTGCAAATTTTGTTTTCATAGTTTCTCTGAAGGGTAAAGTCTCTGTATATATATGTACCTCTAATTGCTTGATTTGATTGCCCTAAACTGCATCTGCTCTTAGGAAGCTTATAACTCACCACTGCTTCAGCCCTTCATTTATAAACTTCACCCAAACTGATTCTACTTGACTTTTTGAGCTGAGATCCTTTCTCTCTACTGTCTTTATCCTGTCCTTTATTATCAAAGCTATCCCTCCACTTTTCTGTTCTGTTCAGTTCTATTTTATTCCTACTCTTTTACCTAACTCTTCTATAATGAACCCCAGCTAATGATATTATTGGACAGTTCAGATGCCAGTATAAATTCTGGCTTGAAAGATCATATTTTGTTTTGTTTTTATTTCATGAATTAGTAGATTTTGTTTTAACAATAAAACATAAGTTCATTATGCAAAAAAAGTGTAGAATAAACCAAACTATTTGAACAAAACAAAATTTGAAAGATTTTGAAACACACAATAAAAATAGAGTCTATCCAAACACATCACTTTATTGTACTCGAGCACCGAAGTTAATTAATTACCTTCTTTAACACATCTATAGGTTTGATTTAACTGTTTCTTTCAATTCTCAGTTTTGAGAGTTTGACAATCTTTTTTCTTGATTAGTCAAATAACTAAGTTAAGACTTGCTCAGCTTCAAATAACCCGTTCAGGGTTCCAACCAAACACTTCTGTTCTAGAGCTTTCAGCGAACACTGGGGTGATCTGTTTCTTAACTTTTCTGAACTTCAGGAAAAACTGATTCACATATCTAACTTAACCAAGATTTCTGTGAACTGAAACAAAAAGCTTTCCAAGCTATAAATTTGTCACCTAAGCAAAAATAAAACACATATTTAATCTCTCTGCTTGTAAAATTTTCCATTAGAAAAATTCAAATTATCACCTAGGAATTCTTTTTCTCGCATACTTGTTTTTAAAGAAAAATAATTGTTCCGGAAATATTGGAAACTTAATCATTAAACCCCCTGATATACATAGACCAAAATCCACATGCCAGTACTTCAAAATCCAGACTCTAAAATAAATATTAAAATATATGTAAACCACACACCTTACAATACATTTCTGAATGATAAGTATGCTGGAAGATGAAATTGATTAAATATTTGAAACAGAGGAAGGTACAAATTGTGGGATAAGCAAGGCAATGGAAGGGTCTTGCCTCCTTTGCAGGTACCATAAGACAAAATTCATCAGAAATCAAGCCATTGTCCTGAACTGGAGTTATCTGAGCATATTTGATTATTTGATACTTAAATAATGTGGGTATATTTGCTTATTTCAGGTCCAGACCAGATGCCTCTAAGGGAGGAATTTGAACAGATTATGCTAAAAGCGATACAGGACCCGAGCCTTAAAGATAGATCCTTACAAATGGGAGGCCCTCCTTCCACCGTGTCTCCAGGACAGTTACCCTGGCTTGCTCGACTTGCTGCCAGTGTTTCACGAGATTTGGTGCAAGTAGTTTTCACTCAAAACTCACTGGCTGAAGGCATTTCGGAGACTTTAAGGACATTTGGTGATGTCCATCTACACCAGAAAGTACCTAACTATGTAGTAGTCATTTGTACATCAAAGATGAGGGGAATTGAATTCTGTGTGGTTGTTTTAGGTATGTAGAATTATACTTTTTATTTGTAAGTATCCACTGATAATTAAATGTAAACTGCAGCGAATAGTTTTCTTAACAAAATACTTGGTCTGAAATTACACTTTGTGATTAAAAGGTTAAGTTCTGAAAATATTTTTAGTTTATGTGAAAGATATTTAACTTGTTATCTAACCAGCCATTTATCAAGTGTCAGTTGCCTGATTTATAGGAGACTTGGTCATTATGTTATCAAAAATGACTGTCATTATACACTGTTTAAGATCTTTAGCTGCTGCCTATACATTTGACACAGGGCTTGTTTGTCCAATATCATTCCTCAGATTGCGAGTTCAATATGAGGATGATGAAAGAGTATGGTTAGCTTTCCTCTTGGCTCTGCTGCAGATTACTCAACAGATTCAGCATACTTGAGGCATGTTTTTACACATGAAGCAGTGCACTGATTTCTTGGCTTAGTCAGTTACAAAGCGCAAATGTCCTCCTATGCCTGAACTTCCCTTTGAAAGGCAGGACACAAAGTGAGAGTGTACCATGTAGTCCAAGGTGCAATCCTGCACTCCATTCAGTATGATAATGGCTGGTCATGGCCTTAAATTCCAGCTTCCTGCTAGCTCCCCATATTCCTTGATTCTCTGAGATGAAGGTCTAAGGCTTGTAGCTATATTTCTGGCCTCTTGTCAAGTCAGCAAAACCTGATGGTCCTTGTGGGCAAAGTGTGGGCTACCTACTTGCATCTATCTTGGTTTTTGAGGTGCTTCTAAGACCCATGCAGGCTTTCTAGTCTTCGAAGGGTCTCAATATCCCCCAACTAGCTACTTGGGATAGCCTTTTACTTGTATAGCCTATGAGAAAATCAATTGGAACATATTCTCGTGTTTTATCTGTTATGTCAATGCTCGGTTTCTGTCTCCATTTCCTATCATGAGTTGAGATCCAAACCACATCACTCAACCACTGAAACTGCTAAATAGACACAAAGTCCACAGATATTAGGATCACATGTTTTCCTACCTTTTAAATAGTTTGCATTGTGTGGTGCGTCCTGGTTTTGTTGTTAAGGAAGTCAGTTGTTTGCATAGGACTGCCAACTGTGCTGAAACTGTGATGTTTCTGAGACTCATCTTGGTCATAGTTTTGTGTTCTGGGCAATATCGATCCCTAAAACCAGAGCCACTAATCAGACAGATTAACTGGTTGTGCACTGTCTTTGCAGGACGAATCTAGCATCAGCTTCTGATTGGCCATTTACATTTATTGCATTTCTATTTCTCCTGCCTCCTAGATGCTACAGTGGGATTTAGATTCTAGCCTTGATCTCAGCTATCTGTCCCCTGTATCTGCTTTTTGGAGAGTCCTGTACAAAAGACGATGAGACATTCTCAATCCAATTCCAAATCTGAGAATTGTAGAATCCCTACAGTGTGGAAGTGGGCCATTCAGCCCATCAAGGCCACACCAACCCTCCAAAAAACATCCCACCCAAACCCAACCCCCTACCCTATCCCTGAAACCTTGCATTTCCCATGGCTAATCCACCTAACCTGCACATCTTTGGACTGTGGGAGGAAACCCACGCAGACACAGGGAAAATTTGCAAACTCCACGTAGACAGTCGCCCGAGGGTGGAATGAACCTTGGTCCCTTGCGCTGTCAGGCAGCAGTGCTAACTACTGAGTCACCGTGCTGCCCCAGTGGGCCCAGAACAAAGCGTGGTTTCTAAATATTTATCATGAACCTGTTTAAACATGTTATGACATACATCTGGAACTGGTGGGACTTGAACCCAGCCTTTCAAGCCCAGAAGAAGGAAAACTTCTACTGCATCACAACAGCCCTAAAGACTGTTTCTAATTTGGTACTAATTAAATGATTCTATTGCATAAGGTTGGTGAAAAGAATTGTGCAGGAGGTATTGTTGTTTTGATGTTGAAGCTGCTGAAACATATTGTTGGAGGTGATACCTGGTTATTCCATTCTTTGGCTGCATCCCTCACTTTGGCGAGCACAACATTTTTCAAAACAAGCGAAAATAAATGTAGATCCTTGCTTTGCACATGGCTGAGCACAACAGGCTGTAAACATTAGTTTAATGCTGTTTCCTAGGCAGCTCATGTTGAGGCGTTGGCTGTGCTTAATTGGAAAAGGCATTGCAGAATGGGCTAAATGGAGAATTGTATCTGATCCTAATCCCATTGGGTTAGATTTATCTGGGTGTGCTCCCAGTGCAATGCTCCATCTTCTGGGCTCCTAGAATAATGCATCTTTTGTGGGGCTCTCAGTCCAAGCTCCCACTGTGATAACTTCCTATGAAGCGGTACTCATCAGTATCTACCCCATTGTGGGAATTTCAGCATAATGTTTTCAGTTTGCAATGGTTGGTGCAGGGCTCCCCCTGTGGGACATTTGGTAGTTCTTCCTCCATGAGGCTGAGTCTAGTACTTACACTGTAGAGTCCCAGGTAGTGCTTGTTTCTGTGGCTCCAGCAATCTTACTGTACTGCTACAGGAAAAATATATATCACAATTTGCCATTTGTTAATTTGGATAATTGAGAAAGAACTTCAGTTTGAATGACTATAATGGTGCTCATTTGAGGGGCAATATCTAAGAACAGGCTTATGGGGATTAATTATGCTTGGTTGGCTGAACGGCTAAATTGCAGTGCAGTGTAATACTAACATCAGACACTATGAAGACCCTGCTTTTTCAACATTGCCACATGCATGGTGACTCTCCGGTTAAACTTGGCATCAGTTGTTTCCCTCTGGAACTATAGCAACATTCACTGTGAAATAGTGGAGAAAGTGCTTTTGATTTTTCTCGTATAACCGGCTTGTGGGCAGTGTTTCCTGCAGAGAGTAGAATTTTGTAAATCAATCCTTATATTCTCTCATGCGCAGTACTTGTTTTCATTCTTTAATCGTTAAGGGTGAAATTTTGTCCTGATGAGAACAGGCAGGGAAGATGTTTGGAAGAGCAGACAATCGCGCAGGTTGGTACTGAGATGATGTCCATTCTTCCTGCAGTTTCCTCAGAACATGTTCAGGGCAGAAGTTTGAATGGTTCTGCCCCACTGTCAATTAAGGTCTTTAAATAGTCAATTAACAACAATTTTTTTCAGTTCCAGGTGTGCGCACCTATCTGGTTGGGCAAGGTTTAAGTTTGGGGGCTGGTGGAGGGGGGTCCTCAATCTGCACTAATTTGTGGAAGGACAGGATCTAGGATAGGGCAGTGGCCCTGAGAGCCTCACTTCTAGCACTTGACCCTCTCCCCATGTGAAAAAACCCTGTCCACCCACATCCCCAAACAACCACTCTATTCTGAGGGTCACTCCACCCTAAACGTTAACTCTGATTCTCTGCACAGATGCTGCCAGACCTGCTGAGCTTTTCCAGAGATTTCTATTTGAACCCCTCGCTTCCTTGGTGTTGACCCTCCATCTGGAGGGCTGCTGTCCCAGTAGAAGCTGCAGCTTCTGCTATGGCACTGAGTTCTTGAGACAACAGTCAGGCAGCTGGCAATTCCCCAGGCTGGTGGGACTTTCTATTCCAAGAGAACACCTGCCAGGAGCTAATCAGCTGTCTGATTGGTTTGAGATCTGGTGGGCTGTCTGAACAAGCAGACTACAGGTTTTTCTCCATCGAGCCCTTTTTTGCTTAATCTCAGTAATGCAGGACATACATATTGTCAGTTTTAAAAACATAATTGGTTAGGATTATGGTTTTATGACTATAGCCTGAGCAGGGGATGGCACAGATTGGAGGGTTACCACGTGCACTATAAATGTGGTTCCGTGGTAACATCAGAGACATGTAAAATCATCCTTAGGCTTCCATCAGAACAGCTGGATTGCAAGCAGCGCACAAATAAAACACTGAGAACCCTACCATTTAACATCTTAATAAAAATCAAATAGTTCAAATGTACAGTAGGAAAATTGAAATATCCTCATCCTGAATTTCTTTCTGGGGTTCTGCGAGACTGTTGCAGGAATCCTGTAGAGTACTGATGGAGCATATGAGAAATTAACAAAGACATACTTGCGTGAGATATGTATGCTTCAATTCTAAGATGGTGCTGGAACGGTAGATAGATTTGGGCTCATTGGAGGCTGTCTGCTTCAGGCTGGTGGCATCATTTTGTCTATGTACTTTTTGTCTTTTTTTTTCTTCCCTTCTTCCTTTCTTCTTCATTTTCGAGGCTGGCACGCTTGTTGGCAGGACAGTGGCTGCAGTTTTGGCGGCATGGATCGGGGCACCTTGCAGCAGTGGCGCTGCCTGGAGTGAGGACTCTAGGCAGCAGTAGTGCCCAGAGCAAGAACTTTCAGCGAAAGCGGTGTCCAGAGAGGGGACTCTTGGCAGCAGTGGTGCCCAGAGTGGTGACTCCTGGCGGCGGTAGGCCCGGAGCCTGCATTCTTGGTGGTGGCAGTGAGGTGGCAGCAGTAGAGCCATGGTCTTTTGGAGCATCAGCGTTATAATTGCTGTTCTCAATGCGGAACTTCTTAAGGACCGGAACACTTTGCAGAGACCTCGCAGAAGCCCTGAGCTGTGCTTGAGAACTCGATTTGAACAGAAGATGAACTCTTATTTAAATAATTTCTTTTTATTATTATTGTAACTCAAAATGGTGCCAGATTGTGGCGACAAAGCACTTTTCACTGTATCTTCAAGGTATATGTGACAATAAGTCCTTCATTCCTTCATTCATTCCTTCAGTTTTTGTGATTTTCTAGCCTGCCTTGTAAGGGAAGAAACCCTGCACATCCCTTACAAGGCAAATTGCGAGGGACTACTCCCAGTGAATGCATAACCTCACTGTAAGTTTCTGCTGATCTTAATTTATCTGCTTCAAAATGTTGTCCTCAGCAATTTCTCCAAATCACTATTCTGCCTCACTGATACCATTGTCACACTGATGATTGTTTTTGGCAGAAGTTCAAACAATTTTTCTTACAACTTCTTCAATTTTCGTCTTGTTAAACCTTCCAATTGAAAATCTGAGCCAGTAGTGAACTTACTCATAATTGTAAAAGCTTGAACTGCATATTTTTACAGTGTGTAACTGATTTAAACAGTGTAGAATTGTGTGCAGTGTCATAGCAATAAATAAATCACTTCAACGATGTATTTGTTTTCATCAGGTCATTATCAATCCAGAATGCTGGCAGAAAGTATGCTTACTACGAATGAATTCCTGAAGGAAATTAGTTACGAATTGATTACTGGAAAAGTCGGTATTTTGGCATCATATTTCAAAACCTCTCCTCATGGTAAATGTTTCAGTCAGATATATATTATTTACATTTCTTTATATTTTCAGGATGTACAAAAGTTTCAGTAAATTCCACCAAAGTAAGGAAGTTTTGTTTAACAAATTATTGCTCAAAACTTCAGTCATTTGTTTGGTTTTGAGTTTATGGTATTATTATTGTTAATGAGGAAGAAATGAGACCAATTTTGACAATGGTATCTCACACGAGCATTGAGCTCTCACTTACCTATATAAAGGGACTGATGCTTGGCTTGCCCATGAATTAAAGGCTTTCATGCTTTTCCTAATGCTTTTCAGGTGTTCCGTGGGTGCAGAATGTTAGCACCCAAAATTAAGGCTTGCTGCATTTGTTTGCTGCCGGTATGCCAGGTATAAAGAGATCCAAGTTATGAACCATTGAATTCAGTGGTTGTACTTAAGGCCATGATCTCTCAATTACTAATCCAATGCTATGCTCTTGCCACTTCATACCCATAAGTGTTCTTCATACACCACTGTTCAGTAGTCAGACCTGTGCCAGGAATTTCATGCCACTAATATGGCTGCAAAATCGGCACTCTGTCAACATTTGGGGCTTCATGGCCCTTTCTATGATTTCACAATGTTATTGTTGATGGCTTCAATTGTTTTGCTTTCAGACATTTAATAAATCCATGCAAGAGATTGTTGAGGGTGGTCTAAAACAGCTGCAGATTTGCCTTCAGCTTTGCCTTCAGTCAACTTCCCTAAAATGTAATCTGCCTTCAGTGACCAATATGCCCAAAGTAATGGTTGTCAGTGAAAGGAATTTTTAAAAAAAGTCTAAACAGCACTGTGGAACACTCCTCCAGATTCCACGCCCTCCTGCATAGCACTGCTTGATCAGCTCAAATCTCATTTTTCCTTTCACCCTTGTCTGCTCCACTAGAATTTAACAAATGAGATGAACAGCCAGAATTTATTTCGCTCGTCAGGCAAGCCGCTTATAGAGATGCAACCAATGCTGGTAAACTTGCCCAACAAATTTTGATGAGATCCCAGGCTTCCTTTATTGGGCTGTTTGTTAAAATTCATAGGATGTGAGTGTCACTGCCAGGGCCAACATTTATTGCCCAACCCTAGTTGCCCTTGAGAAGGTGGTGGTGAGCTGTCTTCTTGAACCATTCCAGTCTATGTACTGTAGGTACATCCACAATTTAAAAAGTTAAAATTATATTGCTGTTCTTAGGGTTCTATATTGCAGACTACATTCAATTGAGGCAAGCATTCTTATCAACACAAACACATTTTCAAAGGTCTTGACTGTTTTGAACTTCATGAGAGACTTCTTGACCAGTTTGACACTTAGACCATAAGACATAAGTGCTGAATTAACCCATTTGGCCCGTTGGATTTCTTCTGTTTTTCAGTGAGATCATGGCTGATTCTGACAATCCTTAATTCCACTTTCGTACCTTTTTCCTCTTATACCTTGATTCCCTTATATCTTAAAAATCTGTCTATCCCAGCCTAGAATAAATTAATGACCCAGCTTTGATAGTCTTCTTTAAGAAAGAATTACACAGATTCATTACCCTCTGAAAGAAAAACAAAATCATCAACATTCCTGTCTTAAATCACTAACCCCTTACTCTGAGATTATGCCTTCTAGTCCTATACTCTCCCACAAGGAAAATAACCTCTCCACATCTACCCTGTCAAGTCCTGTAATAATCTTGTATGTTTCAATAAGGTTTTTTTCTCATTCTCCTAAATTACAAGGAGTGTAACCACTGCTCAACCTTCTCCCTTTCTGAAGAAGTCACATTAGACTTGAAATGTTCATGCTGTTTCTCTCTCCAGAGATGCTGCTAGACATGCTGAGTTTCTCCAACATTTTCTGTGTTCATTTTAGCTTGTAAGCATCTGCAGTATTTTGCCTTTTTAAGGAAATTAAGCTGTTGCTTATCAAAAGGTTTCTTTTGGCGTAGGGTGACAGAGACAGAAACTGTTTGCCTTTAGAAAGAGAGATTCAGAAGGTCGCGGAATGTGCAGATTTCATTTTAAATAGAAGCAGGTCATTCAGCAAAGGAGAACCAAGAAACTGATAAGGAAAGAGAGAATAGAATATGAATGCAGTGTAGAAAAAATATAAAAGCAAACTTTAAATAGGAATATTAAAGGGATAATTTTGGCTAAAACAAATGTGAGCCTATTACAGACAGATAGAGGAGAATTTGTAGTAGGGACTAGAAAAATGGCAGAGAAGCTAAATGATTAATTTGTATCTGCTTTCACAAGGATGATGCAAGAGATTTCCTAGAAATAGGGATCAAATAGGGGAAATGAGGAGTTGAAGGAAATTAATATTAGTAAGAAGATTATACTGGAGAAATTAATGGAACTGAAACTAAATAAATTCCCAGAAACTGATGCTGTGCATGAAGAAATGGATATCAAGATAATTAAGGCATTGGTGGTTCATCTTTCAAAATTTTATAGATTCTTAAATGTTTCCTGCATGTTATCCCACATGTAGTGAATGTAATGAGATCCGCCAGGTGGACCTCATAGAATATGAGTTCCCTAATTGGTGCTGTTAGCCTGGTCAAGTCAGCCAGGCCTCCCTGACAGGAACAGGAGTGTCAGACATCCTGTTCAGTCTGAGAGCTGGCTCTGAGGTTTTTGGATTGGTGTCAAGGACTCTCCATATGTAAATGTAGGGTGACTTGGTGATGGAGCCTGTGTGGAGTTGTTTCACCACAGTTTAAGAACGGAGATATAGAGAAGACAGGGAACTGCAGACCTGTTAGCCTTACACCAACAGTAGGGAAAATGCTAGAATCCATGGTAAAGAATTTGGATAATAATGATCTGATTAGACATGGTCAGTGTGAATTTACAAATGGGAAATTGTATTTGACAAACTTATTGAATTTTTTGAAGATGTCACTAACAAAGTTGATAAAGGAAAGCTGAATGACGCAGTATACATAGATTTTCAGCAGGCTTTTAATAAAGTTCCGCACAGGAGGCTGGCAAGAAAAAAAATTAAAGCACGTAGTTTATGTGGTAATGTACTGACATAGATTAATTATTGCCCAACAGACACAAAACAGAGAGTAGGAATAAATGGATCATTCTTACCTTTGCGAGCTGTGACTAGTGGACTACCACAAGGAAAGTATATGGACCCCAGCTATTCACAACATATGTCATTGATTTGGATTTGAGGGACCAAATGTAATATTTCCAAATTTGCAAATTGTACAAAGTCAACTGGGGGCTTGTGTTGTAAGGAAGATGTAAAGCAGCTTCAGGAGGATGTGGACAGACATAGTGAATGGGCAAGAACATGTCAGATGGAATATAGTGTGGAAAATTATGAATTTAGAAAAAATTAATGTAAAAACAATGTGCAGGTTAGGTGAATTGGTGATAGTAAATTGTCCGTGGTGTCTAGGGATGTGCAGGCTACACGGATTAGCCATGGTAAATGAGGGGCTATGGGGATAGGGTAGGGGATCTGGGTCTGGGTGGGATGCTGTACAGAGGATTGGTGCAGATTCAGTAGGCTGAATGGCCTCTTTCTGCACTGTTGGGATTCTGTGATTCTAAACTAGGAGCAGGAACTAACAGTAGGGGTAATAGTTATCGAATTTGGTAGGAGAAAGAGATGTGCAGAGTAATTCTTTAAGTGATAAGAGCCGAGAAACTGTAAATGTGCAAGGAAAGTTGATTGATCTTGTCGTTAAGTCACTGAAGGCTAACGTCCAGGTGCAGCAAGCTATCAGGAAGGCTAATGGAATGGTGGCCTTTATCACAAGAGGATTTTGAGTACAGGAGTAGTGATGTCTTGCTTCAATTCCATAGAAGCTTGGTCCGACATCACCGAGAATACTGTATGTAGTTTTGATCTCCTTATCTCAGGAATGATATTACTGCCATCGAGGGAAATTGTTCTCGGGACTGTCCTATGAAGAAAGACTGGGTAAAAGACCAGGCAGAATGGGCCTGTATTCTCTCGAGTTTTGACGAATAAGAGGTAATCTCATAGAATCCCTACAGTGTGGAAACAGGCCATTCAGCCCAATAAGTCCACACTGCCCCTCCGGAGAGCATCCCACCCAGACCCATTCCCCTATCCCTGCATTTCACACGTCTAACCCAAACATCCCTGGGCAATTTAGCATAGCCAATCCACCTACCCTGCACATCTTTGGACTGTGGGAGGAAACTGGAGCACCCAGAGGAAACCGACGCAGACACGGGGAAAATGTGTAAACTCCACACAGACAGTCACCCGAGGGTGGAATCGAACCAAGGTCCCTGGTGCTGTGAGGTAGCAGTGCTAACCACTGAGCCACCGTGCCACCCCTATCTCAATGAAACTTCCAAAATATGTAAAGTGATTGACAGGGTAGCTACAGATAAGATACTTCTTCTGCTTGGGGAGTCTCGAACCAGGATACACGGTTTGAAAATGAAGGGAGTGCCGTTTTAGATCCATGATGACTGGAAATCTTTTTGCTCACAGGGTTGTTAATCTTTGGAATTTCCTGCCACGTTGTGGAAACTCCGTCTTTGGGTATGTTAAAGGTAGAAATTTATAGATTCCTGATTGCCAACGGCGTACAAGGCTATAAGGATGGAGTGGATATTAAAGTGCTTGATCGGCCATGATCATTTTAAATTCCAAGTCAGGCTTGATAGGCAGAGTGCCTACTCCTGTTCCTATGTTCCTTTTCAGGGAGAAAAAGCCTGTAAGAGCAACAGTGCAGTCTCGCAGTCCTCAGAAATGTCAGGACAGGAGCACAGAATTCCAACGTTGTTCAATGTCAGTAAGAGAATTTTCTAGAAACAGTATGCTGTGGAAGAACAGTTTAGGGAATCTATGTTATTTAAAAAAAAAAGTAAGACGTGTTAGCAGTTTAAGGGTCTTATGAAAAGATGTTAACTAAAGAAGTTAAGGTCAAATTTATAGAGTTTATAGAGTCATAGAGATCTACAGCACAGAAAACAGTCCACCGCGCTCACACTGGTTCTCACAATTCTAATCCCATTTTCCAGGACTTGGTCCATAGCCTTATATGTCTTGTCATCACAAGTGCACATCTAAGTACTTCTTGAATATTATGAGGGTTTCTGTCACTGCCATCCTTACAGGATCCAGATTCCTACAATGCTCTGGGTGAAAAAGCATTTCCTCACTTCTCGAAACCTTCTGCCCCTTACCTTAAATTGATATCCCCAGGTCATTGACCCCTCCATCAAGGGGAAATATATCTTCCTGTCAACCTTACCTATGCCCCTCATAATTTTATGCATCTCAATCATGTCCCCTCTCAACCTCCTCCCTTCTAAGGAAAGTTTGCTGTAAAGAAACCAAGAACAGACATGCAACTGAAAAAAGAACTTTGAAGTGGATTACCCTTCACTGAATATCTGTAAAGGTTTTGTTGAGGGTAAAAGGGCTAAATCTTTATTTTTGATATTTGTAATAAGACTATTTCAATTTATTCTTATAAAGTGGAAGATATTATGAGTTTTTTCTTCCTTTTTTGTGTAACAAACTTTGTTTTTATGACATTTAATAATTGTTCTATGATGTTTTCCCTAAATAAGATTGATGAAAGGAATGCAGTGGGTTTTATTGATATAGATTTTGTGGAAGTGTTTGACAAAGTACCACAAAAGAGACTGGTTGTAAAACTGAAGTTCATGGATTAAAGGACCAGAGGTGGCTTGAATTAAAAAGTTACCTTGAGGACAAAATATAGCAACTCGTGGTAAATGACGTTTTTGAGACAAGAGGATGAGACAGTGGTGTCCCGCAAGGATCGGTGCACAGACCACTGCATTTTTAAATTATAGAATTGACTTGCATATTAGAATACAAAGTAAGAATTTAAAATTTACTATGACACCAGACTTGGAAGTGAGGCAAAAAGTGTGGATGTTACCAATCAACTGCAACAGGACAAATAGGCTAGCAGAATAGGCAGTTAAATGGCAGATGAAATTTAATACAGAAAAGTGTGGCTGAAGGATTAGAGGGAGACAATATAGCCAATTCTGCAGTTATAAAGGCTGTTTTAAAGATATGCTTTAGAAATCTTACAAAGTCTGTTCTAACTAAAGAATCTTTTGGCATTCATCTTGACTTGAAATGTTGATTAGGTTTTCACTATGTAACGGATATATTTTGAAGCTTTCAATACTTTTTTTGCTTTTGTCCACTGAATTGATACTTTATCTACCACAGGTGATAACTTAGACAAATTCCTGGATAAATTTCAGCAGAGTCGAAATAGTAATGTTGCTATTCCATTCAATGGAAATGTTTCTGACTACATTCCAGCAGATGAAGCTGCAGCAATGACTGCAATGCAGTGTTTTGGTAAGACATCAGAATCTGTAGTCTATGTCAGCTCTCTGCTGCAATAGCTACCATTGATAAATGTTTGACTAGAGGCTGTAAGTAGTGGCTTTAATGCTTGTGCTTCCACTCTTGTTTAGATGCATGTTTGTTTTTGTACAGTAACCCTTTGAATTGATGCTTTTGCACCATTTATAAATGATCTATATGACATTCAGAAGAGTCAGCTGGTGTAAACCACCGTCAAAGGGTGTGCAGCTGTATGGAAGTCCGGAAGGTATTGTGTAGGCTGCTCACAAGTTGCTGCCTTTAGCATACCGCACATGGATAGCTGTACAAAAAAATTTAAAGGTACCGTGTGCTCAAATGAACATGATACACACAGGAAGGAAATTTAGAAGGGTGTTGGTTTAATTGAGTCTTACTAATCAATCTTTTGCTGTTGCATCTGTGGATACGCTTAGAAAGCTAGTACATTTTAACTACTCTGGGTGGGAGATTTGAATGTCCATCACTAAGAGTGGCTTGGCAGGAGCAGTACCGATTGCACTGGACAGGTCCTAAAGGACACATAGCTGCAAGACTGGGTCTGGAGCAGATGGTGAGGGAACCAGCAAGAGGGAAAAACTTACTTAACTTCGTCCTTACCAATCTGCTGGCTGCAGATACATCTGTCTATGACAGTATTGGTAAAAGTGACCACTGCACAGTCCTTGTGGAGGTGAAGTCCTGCCTTCATGTTGAGAATAACCTCCATTGTGTTGTGTGGCACTATCATTGTGCTAAATGGGACAGACTTCGAACAGATCTAGCAATTCAAGACTGGGAATCCATGAGGTTGGACCATCAACAACAGCCGAATTATACTCCAGCACAATTTGCAACCTCATGGCACAGCATTTCCCCACTCAACCATTACCATCAAGCCAAGAGATCAATGATGGTTCAACGCAGAGTGCTGGAGGACATGCCAGAAGACATGCCAGAAGCAGCATTAGACATACCCAATAATGAGGTGTCAACCTGGTGAACCTACTAAACAGGGCTACTTGCATGCCAAGCAGCATAAATAACAAGTGATAGAAAAAGCTAAGTGATCCCACAATTAACAATCAAATCTAAGCTCTGCAATCTTGCCACATCCAATTGTGAATGATGATGGACAATTAAACAACTCACTGGAGGAGGAGGCTATCCTATGCTATCCTCAATGATGGAACAGCTCAATACATCAGTCTAAAAGATAAGGCTGGAGCATTCGCAGCAATCTTCAGCCCGAAGTGCCGAGTGAATGATCGATCTTGGGCTCTACCAGTGCTCCCCAGTATTACAGATACCAGTCTTCAGTCAATTTGATTCAATTCACGTGATATCACGAGATAGTTGGAAGGACTGGATGCTGCAAAGGCTATTGGCCCTGACAACATTCCAGCAATAGTACTGAAGACTTTTGCTCCAGAACTTTCCAATCCCCAACCAAGCTGTTCCAGTACAACACTGGCATCCATCCCACCATGTGGAAAATTGCCCAGGTATATCCTGCATCCAAAAATGCAGGACAAATCCAAACTGGCCAGTTACTGCCCCATCAGTCTACTCTCAATCATCAGTAAAGTGATGGAAGATGTTATCAAGCAGCATCTGCTCAGTAATAACCTGCTTGGTGATGCCCATTTTAGTTCTACCAGGGCCACTCAGCTCCTAACCTCTTTACAGCCTTGATTCAAATACGGGCAAAAGAGCTGGTGAGGTGAGAGTGACAGCCCTGAACATCAAGGCTGCATATGACTGAGTGAAGCATCAAGGAGCCCTAGCAACACTGGAATCAATGGGTATGGGGGAAATCTCGCTGATGGTTGGAGTCATATTAGGCACAGAGGAAGATGGTTGATGATTTTCGAAGTCAGTCATCTCAGCTTCTGGACATCTCTGCGGGAATTCTTCAGGGTGGTGTCCTAATCCCAACCATATTCAGCTGCTTGATCAATGATCTTCTGTCTGTCATAAGATCAGAGGTAGGGATGTTGACTGATGATTGCACAATGTTCAGCAAGTTTCATGACTCTTCAGATACTGAAGCAGTCCATGTCAAATGCAACAAGATCTGGACAATATCCAGGCTTGGAGTGCCAAGTGGCATGTAACATTTGCGCCACACAAATGCCAGGCTATGACCATCACCAATAAGAGACAATCTAACCATGGTTCCTTGACATTCAATGGTGTTACCATCACTGAATCCCAGAAACTCAATTGGACTTGCCACATAAACACAGTGGATACAAGAGCAGGTCAGAAGCTAGCTTGACAGAGATCAAAGAATTTAGTTTAGGCCAGGAATCATATAGCTGATAAATCTTTTGGATGGACATCCTAGCATTTAAACTTCCGCTTTCAAGTACTAAGGCTGCTGTCATTGTATTATCACTGTGAGGCAGCCAGATTTCTGCTCAACACACTGCCAGCTGACTTTTAACTTGGGGTGCAGTAGAGTGGGCAGTCATTCTTTACCTCCCAGCAAAATCCACCCCATGAAAACTAGAACAAGATTGCAGTAGAGATCTGTGGAAATAAAATGGATACTAAGATTAAAAATTCCTATATAGACCATAACACAAATGAAGAAAAATTTGTAATTGCAAGAGCAAAAAAAACTTTTAAAAAAGTGATAACCAGCAAAGAAAATGTCAGCATTTTGACTGTTTGATCAAAGATAAAAAGTGACATTGTTCTCTTAATGAGAGAATAGTGGAGACCAGCAGAAAGACGGGTCAACCAAGGCATAATTGGATGACGGATGTCTACATGCTTAGGTATGAGTCACAGTGGATGTGTGAAGATGGCACAAGATAGACAAGTGTGGTGTACCATGACAGCAAATCTGCCAGGGCTAGCTATAAGCAGCAGTGGCAGGACACATAAGAGTGATGAGTTCAATAATGTAACTGCAAATTATTGGTGGAACTAACAATGGAATACACTTTCTTTATCTTCTACAGATTCAGCTACTGAAGTGTTTCAGATTCATCCCTCTCAGCTCAGTGTTGCCCGAAAGCTGTTATCTCAAGTTTGTGCGATAGCAGACTCTGGAATGCAAAACCTAGATTTGGGGCGCTTTGGAAAGGTTGACTTCATTATTTTACTGCCTCCATCTGAGATTCTTTTCCAGCAGACTTTGCAACGTATTCGACATTCAGGTAGGCTGCTAAAACCGCTGTTACTTCAGTTTTTGAAATGCATGACAGAATGTGTTCAATTATATAACATTTTTAAAAAAAAGCTTTACTTACCTATTGCCTATTTATAACTAATTAGTGTTCCAATTGAAGTTTTCTCATGATTTACAGATAAAGAACCGACTTGTTTAACTTAAATCGCATCAGGCATTTGAAGAAACTAGGAGTGCAACTTACATCCATCAGGAAGTTAGTGTGATTTTTAAATAGGAGACATGCCATTATTCTCACAACAAATTTTCACTATGTTTGACCACCGAGATTTCTTCAGTATTGCTCTTTGAGGCTTTATGCTGCAATGATAGGAGATGGCGATGTGGGAGCAGTGTCACTCAACTTGTAATCCAGAGGCTCAGGCTATTACTCGGGGATGTAAGTTCAAATCCCATGATGGCAGCTTGATTAATAACTTGATAATAAAGCTAGTTTCAGTAATGGTGACCATGATAACTATCATTGGTAACCATGACAAATATCACTGATTGTTCCAAGAAGATCTGGTTCACTCATGTCCATCCTTGCTTTCTTTTTGGGGCGGGAAATCAGCTACCCTCACTCCATGTAGGCTACATGTGATTCCACACCCACACTAATGTGATTGATCTATAGCTGCCCTCTGAAATGACCTGAACAAGCCACTTTGCAAACTTTTAGCCTTTCATATCCTCACAGCCTTCAACTCCCCGATATTTGAAAAATCATTCTACCTCTTCTTTAAATAATTTCAGTCATCTAGCCTCCACAACTCTCTCGGGTAGAGAATTCCAGACATTGGTGATCCTCCAAGAGGGGAAATTCCTTTCCATCTCAGTTTTAAATGAGTGCCACCTTATTCCGTAACTATGTAACCCAGTTCGAGATTCCCCACTAGTGGAAACATATTCTCAACATCTACCCGGTCAAGCCCTCTCAGAATTTTATATATTTCAATAAGATCACTCTTCATCTTCTAAACTTATAAGAACTAGAAGCAGGAGTAGGCAATGCAGTCTGTTAAGCCTGCTCCGCCATTTAACATGACCATGTTGATCTCATCTCTGCTTTCCTACCCGTACACCACAACACTTTAAACTGTTACTAATTACAAATCCGTCTTATCTCCTCCTTAAATATATTCACACTTCTTAGTGTCCACTGCTGTATGGGACAGTGAATTCCATAAATTCATGACCCTATTGGAGAAGTAATTCCCCCTCATTTCTGTCACCTGTCAGCCTAAAACTTTGACCTCGCTTCCTTGATTTCCTACAAATCTTTGGGGACCTATTGACAACTCTCACCTTTAACTTCTTTCCCTTGCTGTTCCTCATTTCCACCCAAAATAATTTCACGTCATGATCTATTGCACTCTATAACTACTCATTACCACGTAGAAAAAATCATTTATTAACAAAGCTACCCCACCTCCTTTCTCTTTTGACCAAATGCGATGCAATTAATCTAAGGGTGTGAGTATCTCCTGAAAAACACATACATGTTTCCCTCCCTGATGTGTTTATAGTGTCTGCAGCTCAGACTACAGTTCACCAACTCTAAGCCAAAGTTCCTTGAGCAGCCAACACTTGCTGCAAATGTGGTCACTGTGGATCGCATCCACAACCCCCAACTCTCTCATGCTACAGCAGCAACACATTGCCTGTCCAGCTACTTCTATTCACTTAATTGATTTGGATGCTAAAAAATTATTTAAAGTGAATATCTTAAATATACTGTTCAACTGTACCAACATCTCCTGATTTAAACCATTTTGCCAATCAAAGAGATGTGGAAGAAATTCTCACCAGTCACCTACCTGATTTCCTGTGAACTGTGAAGTGAACTTCATCTCTGACAGGTAGAAACAGGTTGAAGGGGCTCTCTGCCTCCAGTTTTTATCTCCAGCCACTGTTACCCTTCTCACACAGGTCCACTTCTTTTTGTAAGCTGCAGTCCCTGTGCTGTCACGTTGTTTGAGAACTGCTGACCCCACACTCTCCCACTCTTTATGAAGCCTTTAATCTGATCAAATGTGCACACATCATGTTTCACACGTGTTTCACCAAAAGCAGACTGGAGTTGAAACAGCTGCTTTGGGTGCTATGTCGGTGTTGCAGAAATCCAGGCCGATGTCTTTCTAAGCTCTAGCACTAAACACAAGACATCCTGGTACTAGGTAATATTTTAACAGGAGTATTGCATTTAAAAATATAAACTGAGAGGATGAGAAGAGGCTTTTTTTCCCACAAATTGTAACATTTTTTTTCCAAGAAGGTCTAGGCAACTAAAAATAGATGAAGCCCTTGAAGAATAGAGAAAATAGGAAGAAGCTCGAATGGGAAATTAGGAGGGCTAAAAGGGGCTATGAAATGTCCTTGGCCAGCAGGGTTAAGGCGAATCCTGAGGCATTTTATACATATGTTAGGAACAAGAGGATAGCTAGGGAAAGAATAGGCCGACACAAGGATACAGGAGGGAGGTTATGTGTGGAGCCAGAGGAAATGGGTGAGATCCTTACTGAGTACTTTACATCAGAATTCACCAAAGAAAGGATCATGAGGGATATTGAGATTGGGAAAGTGTGTGTGAATAGTCTCAGGCAGGTCAACATAATGAAGTAAATGTTGGTGTCTTGAAATACATTAAAGTGGATAAGTCCCCAGAGCCAGACAGGATCTATCCCAGGAGATATCCAATCTCCAATATCTCCAATGTGGGAGACAAGGGCGGAAATAGTTGGGGCCTGAACAGATATCTTTTCATCCTATATGGCCTCAGGCTAAGTTCCAGAGGACTGGAGAATGCCCAATATTGTTCCTTTGTTTAAGAAGGGAAACAGAGATAATCCAAGTCATTACAAACCAGTGAACCTGATGTCAGTGGTGGGGCAGCTGTTGGAGAAGATACTGAGAGACAGGATTTATTCAAATTTGGAAGCAAATGGACTCGTCAGTGATAGGCAGCATGGGTTTGTGCAGGGAAGGTCATGTTTTACCAATTTGATTGCATTATTTTGAGGAGCTGACAAGAATGATTGATAAGGGAAGGGCACTGGAAGTTGTCTACATAGACTTTAATAAACGATTTGATAAGGTACCTCATGGCATACTGGTACAGAAGGCAGAATCTCATGGGATCTGGGATAAGCTGGCTAGATGGATACAAAAGTAGTTTGGTCATAGAAGACAGAGATTAGCGGGTGGAAGGGTCCTTTTCAAACGGAGATCAGTAAGTGGTGGTGTTCTGCAATGTTCAGTGCTGGGACCTTCGCTGTTTGTAATATATATAAATGATCTGGAGGAAAATGAAGGTGGTCTGATTAGGAAGTTTGCAGATGACACCAAAATTGGCAGAATTGCAGGTAGTGAGGAGGATTATCAAAGGATACAGCAAGATACAGATAGACTGCAGATTTGGGCAGAGAAATAGTGGATGGAGTTAAATCCAGATAAATATGAGGTGATGCATTTTGGAAGATCAAAATCAAATGTGATTAAACTTCTGGTCCACAGACCACCTTATCCATCTGTGTTATCCCTGGCGGGGGTCTGTGGACCTGTACACCCAGAACCTTCTGTATGTCAATGCTCCTAAGGGTTCTGCCATTTATTATTTAATCGCACTTGATTTTGATCTTCCAAAATGCACGCTTGACTTTATCGGCTGGGGCATTGAATATAAAAGTTGGTAAGTCATGTTACAACAGTACAAAACTTTAGTTACGCCACATTCGGAATACTGCGTGCAGTTCTGGTCGCCACACTACCAGAAGGACATAGATGCTTAGTAGAGAGTGCAGAGAAGGTTTACCAGAATGTTGCCTGGTCTGGAGGGTCTTAGTTATGAGGAGAGGTTGGCTAAACTTAGATTGTTTTCACTGGACAGATGGAGGCAGAGGAATGACTTGACAGAGGTGTACAAAATTATGAGAGGCAGGTGGATAGTCAGAGGTTTTTTTCCCAGGGTGGAATGGTCAACTGCAAGAGAGCACAGGTTCAATGTGAGGAAGTTTAGGGGAGAAGTGCAGAGAAAATTTTACACACAGAGGGTGGTGGATGCCTGGAATGCACTGCCAGTGGAGGTGGTGGAACCAGGCTCTTTAGGAAGGTGTAAGGCATATATTGATAGACACACAAACATGAGGTGAACAGAAGCATAGATACCACGCTTGGGCAATGCGCAGTGGGTCTGAATAAGATTAGGAATTGGCTAGGAATCAAGCATAGGCTTGATGGAGCGAAGTGCCTGTTCCTATGCTGCATTACTTATAATTTATTTATTGGGCAGAATGCAGATGTGGCTTTGGAGGTGAGTTGGCAGACAATTCCTTCTCACTGTCCTTCCTCCAGTGGAATTTTGCAAAGAGATGCTACTAAGGGCATCAATGGAATCTTCATTCAGTGATCTTGTGAAGGGGCTGTAAGGATGACAAGGCAACAGTCATGGCTGTTATTAGACTTTTGCAAGGACACTCCCTCCGTTTCCAATATCCACAACGGCATTGGGTTTTCTTTATCTTTGAAATCTCGGTAGACATATACAAATTCCTCCAATTTGAAGTCCCACTACACTTTTGTTTCTACCCGTTCTTCTAGAACTGAAAGCTGTCAGTTGGGTCTCTCATTCCACCTCCATCCATCATCCTTAAATGGATGGTGAACATAGAGGCAACCTCTTAATTTCCTGCCTTCCATAAGATCATGGAGTGCAGAAATGACCAATATCTGGACATGGAAATGTTTCCCATTGCATTAATATCCTGGATCAGAAAGAGTCATCTCAATAAACTTAGTTTTGGCATTTAACAAATACAGATTTGTGAAAAGTCCATTTTTATAATTTAATATATAATATGTCTTTTATTTTACACAGGAGTACTTGTAGACTTGGGTCTAGAGGAAGACACTGTAGCCTATCAAAGGGCTGAGAAATATATTATCCGCTTAGATCATGACATTCAGAACAAGTTTGAAGCTTTCATGAAAAAAGTCAAGCAGAACCCCTACACACTGTTTGTTCTTATACATGACAACTCTCATATTGATTTCACTAGGTAAGTTTACCATAATTTTATTTTCATTTTCCCTTCTTCACAATTCTCAGAATGTTTCAGATCATTTAGACATTTTTGTAGTGTCCATTAATCGCTGCCTGAGGCTAGTGCTTGGCTGCAATGAAGCTTAAAGCCTGCTGTTTGATTGATTTTGTGTATTACCATATCTCATTTAACCTTCTCCATGATGATATGCTCTGCCACCATTCCATACTCAGGCTAACAATCAGAATTTGATAAATGAGCATTTCATGAAGCCTGTCAGTGAACAAAGCTACAGTTTGATCCTTGTTCTCTTAGAATCATAGCATAGGATCCCTACAGTGTGGGAGCAGGCCATCCAGCCCATCGAGTCCACACCGACCATCTGAAGAACATTCCAACCAGACCCCACCCCTCCCTGCAACCCTTCATTTCCCGTGGCTAATTCACTTAACTTACACATCCCTGGCAAGCAGCCTCCTCAAAATCTTGATGTCTCAAGCCTGTCCCTGGGCCAGTTGGCTAGCTTTGTTCTACCCCCATTAAGCCCAAAAACAGGCTATAGGAGTAACACTGTGTAGGATTTGAGTTTTTAGAAGTTCTAGCTCTGAACCCAACCACAAGCCACTAAATTTTGGGTGTTAAATTGAATCCTTAATACTTGACTGTGACTTACTAGCTTTTCATTAGTGTTCATTTGACTATGCAATCAATATTTTTTTTTTACATTGATTGCATCACTCTGTAGCAGGGTCAAAAATTCATCAGGATGTGAGAGGGCCATATGGTACAAATGATCTCTCGGTTCCTCTTTGAGTGATCCTCTCCAGACTTAATTCCATCCACCGTGTGATTTTAACTATTAATAGTGGTCAGATAATAGTTCAATATTTTCTAATCAATCTGTTCAGAAATGTTATTACATACCTCTGAAGCAGATGAGGCTTGAACCTGGGCCACTGCACAACAAGGGTCTCCCAGATCGTAGTTCATAAACTGTAACAAATAACTATCAAACTGTTGGTAGAAGAGCAATTGAGCTACTTATGGGAACAATCCAGATCTCTTCTCTCCATTGTTGGCATTTTACCCTGTGGAGTCAGAGGGCCCTCTTCATCTGAAAGTGACCCTATTACAGTCACGCTGCCCTCATGAATGCTCCAACCCAAGCTGGTGCCTACCTGACTGATCCCGGCCCCTGCCACTTACCTGATTGTGCAGGTAACTTTCTTGCTGGTTTCTCTGTGGCTGCCAGAGTCCCAGCAAAAGCCACAATCCTCAAGTTTTTCTGCAAGAAATCTTCTAATTATTTGCCGAAATTTCAACAGAGTACCTGCAAAGACTTTGGAAAATGGTCTACATTTATCTCGTAACCAGTTAAAAAAGATTATCTGGCCATTTATTTCATTACTATTTGTGGGATCTTGCTGCATTCAATTAGCTGTCGTGTTTGTTAACAATAAAACACTTCAAAAGTATTCCATAGGTTATGAAACACTTTAGGATGTCCTGCAGTTGTGAAATGTGTGTAAATGCAATTTATTTTCCTCTTCATATCTAATCATATATGAAATCCTTTCATACAGTTTCAATTGAATCTCATGTTCCTTTAGTTTTTCAGGTTCTGGAACACATGGGGAATCCAGCCTGGTTCTGTTGGATAAGTTTATTAACTCACGCGAGGCACTTGAGGCCTGCAACTTACTTATGTTGCAGGTCAGCTCCTTTCCCTTCACTTTACAGACACAGCAGTCCCGTGTCAACTTCCAAAATGAAGTGCACTGGATACTGCCCAGCAGTCCTGTAAGTTCACATTAAGTAATTCTTTCTCTTTTTTGCTGTATAAAGACATGCATTTGCCATTTGTAAGGAAGTGTAAGTTTTGTTGTACAAATATGTTTGGTTTGTCCTAATTTGGAGGTCATAACATTGAAGAAATGCTCAGAGTGAAATCTGCTATCAGCATGAGGGATTTGAATTCCTAATCCATGTAAAGATATGAGATGGTGTTAAGTTTTCAGAGTGATCTATGTTCATTTCTGAACTACAAGGAGTTTTTTTCACTGCTAACAAATGACAATCAGCAGTAACACTTTTCCAGAATAAACTATTTCCATTTGAAATTCTCCAGTTTCTGGCTGTACGTTTGGAGATGGTTAATAATGACATTTGGTGTATGGATATAAACAATCATTTATGCCATTTCTGTGTGGATTTGTACTGAATTTATAATGAAATCTCTGGAGAACTGCATCAGAAATTCTGTGCCTTTATGTCAACTTAGTAATCTTCAAATAAGCTATGCCAAAATCATGCTGAACATTACTTAATGATAGACTTATAGAAAGATGTGAATTTTCCATTATCGTTGACTTCAACAGAGGAAAACGGTAGAGAGTCCATTTTCAGTCTATGAATGGAGGTTTTGTGGTGCAGTGCATAATGTCCTTGCCTCTGAGCCAGAAGCTGCGGCTTCTAGGCTATGCCAGAACTTGGAGGCCAAAAAAGCTGCAGCCAAACATGTTGAGTACCAACTATTCCAACATCATTCCAACAGAAGCTGGTAAAAGCAGATGAAATTTCTAGTTAACCATGCACTGAAAAGAATGTTGTAGTCTCTGCTATCGTTACCTGTAGTTCCAGACCACATGATGCATGCAAAACTGCATATGCCACAACACAACAACTCAGAATTACTGCATGAATAGTAAGTCATGTGAGTGAATACCTTTGATACCAGAGTTGTATCAGAGTGTTGAAAGTAGGTTATGACAATTTAATCTAATGAACTTATTTTGTTTCTGTGTAATAAAAATGTCAGTGTTTGTCATTTGTCAGGGACAATTTTCCTGAAATGTATTGTAGCTTCAACTGGTTTAGATAGTTAAAGTCACTAAAAGTTTTGTTATAATAGCTTGCCTCATGGTGTGGCAATAGACAAATTATAACAAAGCTAAATATCTTGAGAAATTGGACATATTTGCTGGAAGTACAGGAAAAGTACTTGCAAGTAAATGTCAACATGCCACTGACTATCTTTTGTCTAACAAGTGATGGAAAACTGGCACTTTGATACTTAATTATTTGATCATGTTAAAATTACTGCATACAAGGAACACGATTCCATGGATAAAAATCTGTGAAGTATTATTTCTGGTAATGCATACATTCATTTTGGCTTGATAGAAAAATTGCAGTACACATTTTTGGTTTCTATAATAACCAGTGAAGTCTGGCATAAACATTAGTAAACATTAAAGCTACTTTGCTCATGGTCCTGTCAGCAAGGTGATTTGTCTTCGTGCAAAAATACTTTCAACAGTATTTCTCATTACATGAAGCAATTCTCTTAGTAACTGAATTCTTGAGCCAAACTAATATTTTATTATGAGAAGGCAAAACAATGATAACTTGGTGTAACCCTCTGTTTTCATGGTTTGACGAAATCTTTCGGTCTCCAGATGCCAGAATATGCAATGCAGAGAAAAATGCATGGTCAACTGAAAGAGTGATCTAACATTCATGAATATGACATTAATGGTCATAACCTAAAAAGTTAGTTTGTTATTATTCTTTCAGCTTGTGATGAACCTGCTAACCACTTATCATATTTTCAATGTTAATTCAGATTTTTCATGCAGCTTGCTTTAAGAGGCAGTTTTAGTGAGACAATGAACACACTCCCTGCATTAGAGATTGGACTGTTAAATTGAATTGAGGATTATTATAATGGATTCCCCCATCACTTTGATGAGTGTTCAGCACGGGAAAAACAAAACAGTTTATGGTGCAGGTTGGTCTTGTCTCATGGCTGACATCAGACCAAATCTTGATTTGTATAAACAATTGCAAATATTGCATATGAAGGTCAGTATTGGAAGGATGGATGGAAACAGTGGCTTTGCGCTGTATTTACTTGTTCCAAAGGCATTTGATTCAGTTTTCCTGAAAATGTTGAAATCACTTAATGAAAGACTTCACCACTGAGTCTGCCTAAGATTTGTTTTTCCCATCTATTGGAATCTAGCTTGAAAGCTCTGTGGTTGGCTTTGAGAATGTTTTATGTCTTAGTTTAGGATGTCCTGTGGTACAAGTTCCTGCATTCATCTGGCTGTGGCATACTGCCTTCAGCAGGTGGGAATGCTCTGTTTGAACCATATGATGGACCCGGCAATGCTGAGCTCTGATGGGCTGATGCCAAGTATGCAGCTTTTTGCAGGAAACTTAGTGCTGGGAATTTAGCCTTGGTACCAAATATTATAAATAGATAAAATGCTTCCAGTTGCTTTATGCGATGCCAATAGCTTGTCCAAATTTCACACCTGTAAAGTGATGTAAGAACCACTCTTGTTAGACTTTCATCTTTGTTCAGAGAGACGCTCCATGCTCTTTCCAAAGTCTCTGAGTGAGACTGCCAAACAATGCGCTATCTTTTGTCAGGCAGCACTCGATTTTGTCATCCAACATAGTGTTGTCGGAGCGGATACTTGCAAAATAGCAGAACTTCTGTACTGAATTATGGGGTGTGTTGTTGGTAGTGACTATGGGATATTGGAATTAGTGACCAGGGACAGGTTAATACAAGATCTCTATCTTCTTCAGGCCACAATATTCTGGGCCTATGGCAAAGTGATCAACAAGCAACTGAATGTCCTCTGGCGTATGTGTTATGATAGTGCAGTCATCTATGAACAAGAGTTCACTCAGTATCTGTTCAATAAGCTCTTTGCAAGTCTTGAAACTTTGTGAGTTGAAGAGAATCATGCCATTTCACAATGTCATGCGATGCTTAACTTAACCAATCAGTTTAATGCAGAATTGATGCCTGCATTTTTATGACTGAGTTATCTCAGTCGTTGCTCATTCATTTAGCTTTTTGAGCTTTGACAGAATTGGCAGCATAGATTCTTATCTGTAACAGTTAGAGGCAAAGCAGGCATTTACTATATCTGTTTTTCATATTTATGCTTTTAATAATTTTTTGGAATTATTACCACAACAGGTGTACTCGTTCATCAATGGATGAGATAATGTATCCTTTACATATAAAGCGACGTAACTTGAAATTTTACTTTTTCTGAAGACCAGAAAGCACAGAAACCAGACTAATGAAAGATTCTGTTCTTCATAACTGTGATTTAGGCAAGAACAACTCAGGACAATAAGTTTTCATGGAGGCTGAAAAATACTTAATCAAGTAACTTTAGATAAAATAATGTCATCCTACAAAAGAGTAAGAAATATACCTCATGATTTGGTTGTTCTATTTAATGGAGCACCTTCAAGTCTCAGAATGACTTGTTGTTTAGCAGGACTGAGAAAATATTGATATTCAAATGCAAACACTTTTTAAAAAATTCCTGCTTCACACATTCAAAATAAATATGAATGTATCAATGGTTTACCAAAAGGTTATTGTTCTATGCTTTATACAGGAAGTTGGAATGTATGAGTAACATGTAATGAGAAATGGTTGTTACAGACCTAATCAATATGATACATGTATTGTACATGTAATTTCCTGCATACGATTACTTCTTGCAACACTAGATGCGGGCGTTGTTTTTCTTTAACATGTCTATCCATGAACATATACTTAAGAGTCCTTTGCCTTTTTCAAATATATTTATTCTTCCTCCCTTTCCAAATGAAAGAAGAATCAGAATGTTCCAGAGTGCTTCATAATAACAACATATTTATTTAGTGCCTTTAACATAATGAAACATTCTAAGACATTCCACAGGCATATCTTAAAGAAAAGAGGTATTACGTAAAATGAAAACCAAAAGAACTGCGGATCTGTAAATCAGAAACAAAAACAGAAATTGCTGGAAAAGCTCAACAAGTCTGGCAGCATCTGTGGAGAGAAATCAGAGTTAACATTTCGTGTCCAGTGACCCTTCACTTGACTGGAAACATTAACTCTGATTTCTCTCCCCAGATGCTGACAGACTTGCTGAGCTTTTCCAGCAATTTCTGTTTTTGTTTCTGATTTGCAGGTGCTGCCAGACCTTCTGAGATATTGGGTCAGATGTCCAAAATATTAACCAATGAGGTAAATTTTAAGGAGTGTCTTAAAAGAAGTAAGTGAGATAAAAAGGCAGAGAGGTGTAGGGAGCAGATTCTCAAGGTTGGGTACTAAGTAACTGAAGAAATGTTCGCCAATAGTGTAGCAATTATAATTACTTTTGAAGTTAATTGTTGTTATATAAACAAACAAAAACCCAAGCTGAGATACTCTGCCTCGTGTAATCATTTTTCATCAAGGACCTTAGTGAATGGTACAAGCTGTTTGAGTGCAGAGGACAGTATAGTTCATCCTGATTTTGATCCCTGAACCGTCTAGATACATTTAATGAGAGCATGGGTCACTAGATGATGATCAGAGGATTGAATTGGGGTCAAATTTTAACCGTCACTAGAGGCTGAGAGCTGAACCCTGGTTTGTTGTTTGATCAATACTAATAGGCTGAAAGCATTTACATATTGAACCTTTTGAGATATTCATCTCCACCATTGCTTTAAAATTCAAAAAGCTTAACTTATGAGATCACTGAAAAGTTTTACACTTGTATATGAGCGAGCATTTGTAGGTTAAATTGTTTCATTTATGCAGTTTTTTTTTAAAATGCTCACTTCAATTTTGAACTAGGCAAAAAGTGATTAGATGGCCACACTATTTGTAACATCGGAACTTGGCAGATGAAATAAAATGTGGGAAAATATGCACTTTGGCAGGAAGAAGAGCTGAATATTATTTAATTGGTGAAAGACTGCAAAAAGCTGCAACGCAGAGATTTTGGGGGGTGGTCACAGTGCATGAATTAGAAAAAGCTCGTATCCAGGGTCATCACATAGTAGGGAAGACACGGAATGTTGGCCTTTAATTTAGAGGGAATGGGGTATGTAGGTGGGGAGGAGCGTCTTGCTAAAATTACAAGGCACTAGTCAGATCACAGCTGGAATACTTCAACAGTTTTGATCCCCTTATCTATGGAAAGATGTACTGAGATTGGGGACAGTGTGGTTATGATTCACTGGGTTAATCATGGGTATGGAGGGATTTTCTTACGAGGATTGGTTGAGTTGTTTGGGCTGGATTCATTGGAGTTTAGATGAATGAGAGGTGATCTTATTGAAATATGTAAAACTCTTAGGGGGCTGCACAGGGTAATTGTGGAGAGGTTGCTTCCACCTGTAGGAGAATTTAGGACCAGAAGGCATAATCTCAAAGTAAAGAGTTGCACATTTAAAATGGAGATGAGGAATTTCTTCTCTGGTGGTGGTCATGCTGTGGAATTCTTTTACCACAGAGGACTGTGAAGGCTACGTAAGTATATTCAAGGCTGAGATTTTTAATCGTTGGATTTTTAATCATTAAGGGAATCAAGAATTATGAGGGAGAGGCAGGAACTTGGAATTGAGGATTATCAAATAAGCCATGATCTTATTGAATGGCTGAGCAGACAAGATGGGCCAAAAGGCCTATTTCTGCTCCTGTGTCTTATGGTCTTATGGTAGCTAATCATGTGATTTCTTAAAATTGAATTCTAAACCTTTTGTACTGTTAACCATGCATGTTTTCATGTAACAAAGTGTGGAGCTGGAGGAGCACAGCTGGCCAGGTAGTATAAGAGGAGCAGGAAAGCTGACATTTTGGATCGGAACCCTTCTTCAGGAATGGAGAGGGGGAGGGGAGCTCAGAAATAAATAGAGAGAGGACAGGTGGGGCTGGGGAAGGTAGGTGGGATGGTAATAGGTGAGTGCAGGTAGAGAGTGGTGGGGATTAGTCAGTGAGGTGAGAGGAGCGGATAGGTGGGAGAGAAGATGGACAGGCTGTGTCAGGCCAAGGAGGCAGGGTTGGACATGGGATGAGGCCGGGGGTGGGGACATTTTAAAACTGGTGAATTCCACGTTTAGGCCATCGGGCTGTAGGCTCCCGAGGCGGAATATGAGGTGCTGCTCCTCCAGTTTGCGAGTGGCATCATTGTGACACTGGAGGAGGACCAGGATAGACATGTCACCCATGGAGGGGGAGTTAAAGTGTTTCACGACTGGAAGGTGTTGTTGTTCATCACGTACAGAGTGCAGATGTTCTACAAAACGGTCTCCGAGTCTCTGCTTGGTCTCACCGATGTAGAGGAGGCCACATCGGGAGCAGCGGATGCAGTCGACCAAGTTGACATGTGCAGGTGAACCCATGTCTGATGTCGAAGGTTTGTTTTTTGCCTTGAATGGAGGTGAGGGGGGAGGTATAGGGACAGGTGTAGCACTTCCTGCAGTTGCAAGGAAAGGTGCCGGGGGTGGTGGGGTCAGTGGGGTTGGTAGGGAATGTGGAGCGGATGAGGAAGTTGCGGAGAGAGCGGTCCCCACAAAAGGCAGAAAAGGGGTGGGGAGGGAAATATATCTTTGGTTGTGGGGTTGGATTGTAGGTGGCGGAAGTGGCAGAGAATGATACGTAGGATGCGGAGGTTGGTTGGGTGATATGTGAGGACAAGGGGATTCTGACTTTATGTTTGTTTTCGTTGGGGGGAGGCAATGTGAGGATAGAGGTGTGGGAGATGCAGGAGATGCGTTTGAGGGCATTTTCAATCACTGGAGGGGGTAGTTACAGTCCTTGAAATAGGAAGACATCTGGGATGTGTGGGAGTGTAATGCCCCATCTTGGGAGCAGATGTGGCGGAGGCAGAGGAATTGGGAGTAGGGGATCGCATTCTTGCAGGAAGGTGGGTGAGAGGAAGTGTAATCTCGGTAGCTGTGGGAGCCGGTGGGTTTGAAATAAATGTCAGTTACAAGGCGGTCATCTGAGATGGAAACAAAGAGGTCCAGGAAGGAGAGGGAGGTATTGGAGATGGTCCAGGTGAATTTGAGGTTGGGGTGAAAGGTGTTAGTAAAGTTAATGAACTGTTCAAGCTCCTCGTGGGAGCACGAGGCAGCGCCAATACAGTCATCAATGTAGTGGAGGAAGAGGTGGGGGATAGTGCCAGTGTAGCAGCGGAAGAGGGACTGTTCCACGTATCCTACGAAGAGACAGGCATAGCTTGGGCCCATGCGCGTTCCCATGGCCACCCCTTACTTTGTAGGAAGTGGGAGGAGTTGAAGGAGAAGTTGTTAAGGGTAGGTACGAGTTCAGTCAAGCGGATGAGGGTGTTAGTGAAGCGGGACTGGTTGGGCCTGTGGGAGAAGAAGAAACGGAGGGCTTTTAGGCCATCCACGTGGGGGATACAAGTGTAGAGGGACTGGATGTCCATAGTGAAGATGAGGCATAGGGGCCAGGGAACCGGAAGTCTTGGAGGAGGCAGAGGGCATGGGCGGTGTCCCGGATGTAGGTGGGGAGTTCCTGGACCATGGTGGAAAAGACAGAATCAAAGTAAGTGGAGAT